CCATCATCGGAGTCCTGATTTTGGTAAGAACGCACCTTGTTTTTACGTACTCGCTGAGTTGTTCTCGAGCAGGCTGGATGGTGGTTGTCAAAGGAACGTCAACCCCTATTTCTACGCCAATCAAAACGAAATGTAGGGTTTTTTCCTCGACCCATTCCATCAGTTGCTTTTCCCCAGGCCTGCTGGTGCGAATTTAGGTCAGTAAACATTGATATTTTACGTGGTGGCCCGTATAATTTATGTGCGTATGACGTGAAGGGGTCTGCGAAACTAAGCTGAGAGTGAATGTTTGCGTCAGTTGACAACCACCAAGCGCTCATGGAATGCAGCGTGTCGTCGCCGGTAAGGCTGTGAATTGACTAAATAGACGAGAAGCGTAAATCTGCATGTCCAGTGTGGTTGCTTCTCCCGAAGCCGTAGTGCCAGACTTGGCATTGATAATTCAGCGATGATAAGGCGGAATTACCGATGGAAATTTCCACTCAGAATCTCCTTTGTACCCTTTATCAATAAGTGAGTCTTCCCCGTTCCTGTGTGTCCGATATCTGATGCGTTCTGCCTGTCCAGACTATGATCCTTGGCATGGTCACTAAGATCCGACCAGGTAGGACTGCGGCGGGATTATCCCAAAAAGATTCTGCACAGCTTATTATCCTGGAACACTTTCAGACACTTACTCGGATCACATTCCTACTGCTCAGCCTACTCGCTCCCGCCCTCGGAATATGCATCTGCCCCCCACACTTTTGAGGCTGTGAGATCATCTATTATTATGCTAGGAAGAGACCTCTGCTTCAAATTGTTCATGAGTGAACGTCGCGGTCACACGATTGGCGCGCAATGCGAACAATTGCATCGATTGCGCCCCCGGGCCAGACGAACCATGATAAGTTGATAACAATTCAACGAATGTACAGTTGCACTTGGACGCATTCTCCGCTTAAAGCGCACGCCATGTGGCCGACATCGCACACCTAATCCACTATCGCAGTCCATCCTTGATGCAACCTACGTAAATTGTCACTCAGTCCATCGACATGCAGGTATCACAGTCGTGTCAGGACCTTAGGGACAAGCAGTACAGTCTAGATCCGAAACAGACGATAGGATATTTGGATTGAATAGATGTGATACATACATCATCGTGACTAATAACCCCTTCTCTCCTCCAGTCGACAGCAACCCATATTGGGGAACCGTATTGTTCACCTTCCATCTTTCGTCTGATATGGTACAGGTCAGAAGTACTATACATTTGACGAACAATGGGCAAGGGCAACTTCTGAGAATACTGAAGACTTCAACTTAGCATAGAGAATCTTGACCGCTCGTTGACAAGCCATCTCTTCTGCATCTCCGCGCTGGGGCCTTTCGGGATGATGCCGAATTGTATGAATCGCTGACTCAAGCAATCGACGTAAATTTTGCTTCCTGAGGTACACATACACTACCCACATCCGCATGCGCGGAAGCCGTTGCAGGTAGCAAACGGTCATCTCCGAGTACCGGCGACAGAAGCCTTCTCTATTCGCGTCTTCTAAGACACATTAGAGTGGTCTTTAATATAGATCCTTTCAGATAGCTTACTATTCAGTCGTTTGTAGCAATAGTAGTACCAACTAAGAACCGCGAGAAAGAAGGGAACAGTGAGAGCGAACGATCGATAAATATAACTACTTATGATTCTTCGTTCTCGCGGCGCGCTATATCCCAGCTTGATCCAAAATGGCAATATCTGCAGACATAGAGATGAGACTTCGAATCTTTCCTAAGGTGTATCACCGGACTGTGAGTGGCAGATATTCACATTGTTCCGCAGGCTGGGTGAGTATAAGTTAGCGCTCTGGTCGCAGATGTAGCCAGAGCTACTCACTATTAGACTTGGAAGATTCATAGTATGCTGGAGCGTCAATTCATTCTTGAGTTAGAAAATACTCAATGGCGGTACCATGACCCACACCTGGACAAGCTGGCAAAGTTTAGTACTAAATTTTGTTCCAGGCGAGCTCGGGAAGTTGGCACAAAAACTAGAAAGACGATACCGTCGATTGTAACCTGGCCTTATTTGATAGCCTCTGTCAAGGTGAGGAAGAGGTGAGGTGAGGATCCCACCTCACCTGTCCCAGTCAGAATTCGTTCGAAATTGAATTTCTGTTTGAGATGACGCTTAAGGCTTCGGATCCATTGCGTAAGGCCACTTTCCATTCCATAGCACAGAAGCCGCTCACCAAGATCACGTAAAAAAGTAGTGGTATTCAGAGAACAACCAAATCTGTAGCTACGCAACTGGGGGATCCAGATCTATGCATTTTCCAAATAAACCAATGGACCCCTTGATCGAAGTTTGCTATTAGACATAAGTAGACATTCCACTTCAGATCCATATGCGAGTTTTGCAAGTAGATGATTTGATCCAATTCGGACGCTTGAATTTCGTCAAACGCTGCGCGAGAAACCTGAATTATATATGTTACAGTGTCTACTCGATATGAATGATATGGTATTGCCACTCAATATGCAATGGCATCCTTCAGGCTCTGCAATTCATCGGCAGCTAAACCCCATCGATCTGCCAGATCGGATTCATTACCTGCTCTAGCAGTTTGTGCTTTCACATATGCTGAGAGCTCATTTTTCTGCTGTGTAGAAAATCTGCCGTGACATAATGTAACATATGTGTGAAGTAACCTGGACGTAGAATCGTAAGCAATGGGTATGATGACAGTTGGTGGACCATTCGACCGACCTGACGAGTTTCTCCTCGAAATCAGCGTCCTCCTCGCGATCGCCATCAGCGCCGAAGGGGGTGGGCGACGTCAAGGACGAAATTAACGCCGGTAACAACCCATGTGCAGTCAGAGCCTGAAAGGTTGCAGGGGAGGTAGAAAATGATGACGGATCTGCCTGCATAGAGGCATGCGAATTTGGGTGTATCGGCTCGCTGCTCTCTGCTGGGGATGGAATTGCGTCGGAACCTAAATCATTCCGTTGATGCTGAGGGACTAATGTGGTGGGAAGAAGGAGTGTATTCAGTAAGAATGCCACTTTCCGTCGGACTGTAATATCTGAATCTGCGCAAAGTGAATAACATTGACATATGACGCCAGCGATACAATATACCTCCGAGTGCAGCCTTAAGCGCTTCCCAACCGCCGGCATCTTGAAATTGTCTCACCGCGGGCGCATTGTGTTTTAACAAGCCGGACAGTGCATATACCGCCTTTGACCTTAACTTGTCTGACCTGACCGAGGAGTCAAGACAGGCAGCTAAGGTCGATGCGGGATTCAAAGAGAGATACTGATTCATTCGGTCAATGATTAATGTCTAAGTGAAACGACTAAGCAACCCACCGAAGCCTGAGCAGAGGGGTTATTTTGCACCGCCGTCCCAATAATCCAAAGAACTTGCATCTTGATTTCATCGGTCGAGGAAGACGAGGTGAGAAGCCCATGCAGTGGTTCCCACATCTTCATTTTATCTACATCTGGATAACGAGTTAGTTTGATAAATGTGGCAACCGTATCTCGACGCACTCACTATTTGCGTTATCAATTTGTTCGACAAGCTGTCCAACAGAAACGTTTGTATATCAACTTATTGTAGTTCCCAGGAAACTCACCATTTCGAAATCATCTAGCGCCTGTATTCTGTCATCCTCGTTCCTTGTCTCGTCCACTGCGACTGTTAAAGCCTCCTTCATCATTTGAGAGTCAGACTTTCCAAGAATCGCATCTATGACTCCTGGATCTAGATCTCTCCGTGGTGGAGTGGATGTAGACTGCTGCCCGGCAGAGTGTTCAATGCCCCATCGCAAAAGATTTTCCATGGCGGTCGGTGGGCGAGATGAGTGGAAAGGGAGACAGTGGGGTCAGAATGAGACTATAGATACACTGTGCCTGCAAATGTAGTGAAGGAGGCGGAAGTTATGCTGAACGACCTAGCGATACATTTTGTACAATCTCTCAGAGTCGAAGATCCTGGAACCATCGAGTCTATTCCCGAACAGGATGAAAGCAGAAGTTCAGCCACAAAGTATCGGCAATTGCCGCTCCGGGCGGCCGGCAATCTGCGAGCCTTGCAAGGCCCATAAATTCGAAAATTCAACGTTGTTGCTCGCGTGTTTGGCTTCAACCACTGTTTCATCAGTCGTTCCACCATGTTTGGAGATATGTATTGTGAGTCTTCTTGTCTGTTTTTAATGTACTGTGATGATATCTTTTATACCAAAATCTTCACCGAGCTTTTCGAAGTCGATGTGGACAAAAATTATCTAGTTTCAGCCTTGGCTGACCAGCCTTTCTTTCCTTGTCTGCATCCCCCATGCGAAGCTAACGAACGCACATCAGATAAAATACAACGACGTTCTATCCGGGCTCATGACCATTGAAGGGTAAGTGGTTTTCAGCCACCTATTTCATTTCCTTCGGATGAGACTATTTCGATGGGCGGACACGAATGCCCTCCGCCTATACCAAAATCTCCTGGTGTACAATTTGGAGATGGGTGGGAGTGCTTGTTGATATACATCGAGTACCTGACCTTTGTTAGCCTATGTGACGACAATTGACCTCATTCTGACGTGTTGGTTTGCAGGTGGTTCGACTCTTGTTGCAATTGTAGTATTATCTATTGTTCACATGATTAGAAGTGTAGTAGATGTAGTAGGAATTGAATAGGGACCCGGTCACGCTTTTAGAATCGCTTATTGAATATTTGAATGCGTAAAAGTCGAACTAAGGAGGGGAGACCTGGGGAAACTACGAACGTGTGCCGGTCACTCACGCGATCGTAAAGAGAACCTCTGGTCCTGTGGTTGTCCGCATGACATGCAAACACAATTCCTGGCTGCTCCCCGCGGTCACATCGTCGACGACATGCTAGCTTCCTGCGGTGCTTATTAGCCTTGGATGCAGCAACGCCATTCCGGCATTTCCTGCCACCCGAGCATCCCCTGATTCGAGTTTCTGATCGACAATTGCGTCAACTTTGACCAGTGCAACGGAACTTCGCCTCTCTCATCTACCCTCTTCCTTCACCGCCATGGGTCTCGGTACAGTCGTGAGGGCCGCAGTTGGATTGCAGACTTCGACCAAAGGCAAGACATCTAACCCGGAGGCAGTGACTGGGACAGGCGTGGGCGAAATGTCGCGAAGACCGCTCCTGACGCTGTCCTTACCTACGAAGCAGCCTCATAACTCTACATCACCTTCGCAGGCATATAGCTATGGTGCCACCACGAACGTTGGTGCCTCTAGCGCGCGAAGCAGCCCTGAGCGGAACAGGAGAGATAGTTTATTGCGGCGGGTACCCGAAGAGGATGTGTCCGTGGAAACTGATGTGCCTCTGGAAGCGGAAGAGGATGAGTGGGATCTGGAAGAGCGGGGATTCTACATAGGTGTGTTGGCATATTGGCGTGGTTGAATGTGCGACTAAGTGATTATCGCAGGCTCGTACCGCCGGAAGGTTGCATTATACACCTTCGTGCCACTGAGTTCTCTCCTCGTTTTCACATCACTGGCGGTGCTACCGCTTATAGTCTGGCCCAATGAGCACCGCGGTCCTCCTAGCAATGCGAGGTCTTTCCCATCACCTCTTCCGGAGCTGATACTCTCGGTCTCGTTGTGGTGTTTATCCTACTTGCTCCGTCTCCCGCTTTTCACCCTCGCATCTTCTACCATCTCATCGCCTGTGTGGCAAACAATACTATTCAACGTTGTCAACGCTCCGCTCAGCCAGCTCCTCCGCTTGTCTGCTCTTCCAGTCCTTCGCATACGCCATGAGATGCAGTATCCGCTTCCGACCTGGAGAGATCCTGTGTTCCAACGAGTTTGGTGGATCGCCCTTGGCTGGGCGCTTGCAGACGTGACAGTGGGTATTATGCAAGGCTACGAGCAGTTGGCGTTGTACAAGGAGGTGATGGTTCCAGAAGAGGGGGTGCGTGACACTTTGCTTAGGTGGGGGAACGACAGCCGGTCCAGCAGTGATAGGAACAACCGTGTCTCTGTCGACGAGATTCTCCAAATGAGCCCGCGTCCCGACATCATGGATGGAGGCAACGTGTTGCGAAAAACGCAATCGTGGATTTCCAATCCGGAAGACGCGATCAAGTTGGCTGTAGACAAAGATTTGGAGCAGCTGATGCGCCTGAAGGAGAGAGAAGAGTTGGAAGAAATCTATGGCCTCGCCCCGATCGTGCGTCGCCTGTTCTCACTAAATTGACTGATCAGGGAACTGACTTCTGCAACAGCACATCCCTGTGTTTGTTTCTTGTCTGCAGCGAATCGACGCGTTCATACTTTCGCTCGGACTCACTCTCATCCTGGCGATGGCCTACTTGCGATCGCGAATATCATTTCCTGACATCAACATACCGCCGATTTATTCGAATCAAATATTCGCTTTCACCTTCGTTGTCGTTGTGGTCGTGCATTTTATTCTTTCTCTGTTGTACTCACCTTATATTCTGCGACATATAGGTGTGCATACTACGGCATACGTGAGCCTGTTGGTTGGACTTGGAAGCATGTTCGCAGGATTGGGCTTTTGGGGCGCCCTGTCATAATTTCAGTTCATGCTCATCGCTCGAAATCCTGGATACAACGTCTGCATATCAAAGCAATACTTGTAGTATACATTGTGAACACTGTACATATATGGTTCCAATCATTCCAAGCCTCCAACTTGTTTGTGAACTATTTGGCGCTCAGCGCGGGATCTTCGTCTTGTTCGTACTCATACATCCCGGTGAGCTGAGATGCGAGTCTGCTTCCCCCTAGGTTCTCTCCCTGCGGCTTTTTGCAGTCATTTCCTCTCTTCTTCTGGCAGTCCATGGGAAAGTAGGTAGTAACGTTTACGTTCCCATCGCGACCCTCAGGATCATCCCTCAGCCAAATCCGGTCGCTATGAAATGCCTTTTGGCGTCAAAGATCCAAGTTGGGTCCAAGCGTTCGCAGTCCCAGCGTTCAGCCGTCCAGTTTCTCCTGGCAGGTCGTACTCGTCCTTGAGTCCCTTGATGGAATACCCTGTCCTCTTGTTCACGACTGATCATCTTTGTCCTCCTGTTCCCATCTGACAGTCTGCAGACTCATCTCTATGGCAGCGCTGTATCTCCACCAGGCTCTCTTCGCTCCGGAGCCGTCTGTGCCACCTCTACTCGCTCACACCAGTGGCACCTCCAGTAGGGCTAGCTCGCCGTACACCCGACATTTGTCCTCCGTTTCGACGGTAACCCTCCGGACTGCCTCCCACTCGGATCACACATATCCTTCAGAGCCGTTTCTCCACACGCTCGGTGTAGAATCTCCCGCATACTTCGACCTGCTCGCAAGACAGCCGAACCATCCGAGTGTCCCTTCAACACCGTCAAATATTGCTCTCAGCTTGGAGGGCGATCCGCTCACTGAAGGTGAGAAGCGATGCCAATGGATATGCCGTATAGAGAAGAGATTACGGAGGTTGCAGTGGGCGAAGAGGCTACTACTCTCAACCATAGGTATGTGGCGTGCCCTCCGTTCTCTGATCGGCTGCTCATGAGACGTGATCTCTAGGAGGATGGGCCGTGTATAACACTGTTCGATACTACCTGGCGGCCTCACTGTATTCCTACCGCGAACGACAAATAATCTTGCTTGTACTCGGGACGAGTGCCGCTCTTTCCCTCACTCTCATTTTTACTGCTCTCATTATTGCACTATTCGCTCCTCAACTTGGCTGGGTTCACAGGCCAGGTGCACCACACGTCCTTGTGCAGGCCTGTCTTAGTTTCTGTGCATCTGCGCTTCTGCTCGGGCCTGCTATCATAAATCTTGTCTTTGTTTTCTTGTGGAGACACTCGTCGAACACAGACAATACTTTACAGGGTCGATGTCATTGGGATGTGGATGTTTTTTGGTCGGGGCTTGGGGTGCGCTGCGAACGATCTCCTGCATGGGGATCCTGGGTTGCGGGTGCGGTCGTTCGCCTCGTCCTCACGTTCGCTTTCCTCGTGCGTACCTTGCGCTTCTCTTGTTACCATGCCTAGTCTTTGACCTCACTGTTCTATTTTTGGCTTCCTCAGGTTGCTTATCACCTGATCTCCTACTCCTATGACGTCACACGACGGCCATCCAAGCGCAAACGTCGCCTGGGCCATCGCTCGCGGAGAATGTCCCATTCGGAGGCGACGTCGACGCGGTCCTCGCGCAGCTACAGAGCGGTGATGATGTCTCCGCCTACGAGTCCGTTGCCAGTCGCACAGATTGGTCGTCAGCCGTCAATCACAACATCTGAAAGCCATACCACAGTCGAAAGCTTAGGCAGTTCGATTGAGCATCGCCCATTACGCAGTTCACGCTCGCGCATCTCGTCGCACAAGTTCTTCGCGAGTGGCCCTCAGGATGTTTTTAAGCTGCCCTCAGCTGTGGCATCCGCGAAAGATGAGAAAGCGGCCAGTTCTTCAACGGGGCAGCCGTTGGCCACAGTCGATGCCTCTCCTGATTCGTCTGAAGAAGACCTTCCTGTCGCGCCTGAATTTAATCCGTACGGACAAGAAGTGGGCTGGATCCCTGGCGCGTACACAGCTCTCTCATCGCCACTGTCACCCCTCTCGCCCCCTGATTACGGGCCATTCGTCCCAATCGCAGACGAAGACACGAACCGTCCGTCCTTATCTGATGACGACCTGAGTAGCTTTGTCGAACGTTTCCGCTCACTTGTCAATCATGTTTCCCATGAGACGGACGAAGGCATCACTCTCGACAACCCTGTTTACTATCCGTCACCTTTCGCACATAGTCATCGCGCAGATCACGACAACGAGTACGTGCCTGTGCTCGGGAAGACGATCCATCGCATGCCGACTATCGAGTCGCTCGGTTCGCGCGAAGTGATGAGTCTCGCGACGTCCAGCATACATCGCACATCCCCGGGACCGCACCATATGTCTCGCCCCTCGACACGCTCGAACAACCTCAGCTTGAACGATGGAGAAGTGGGGGGCAGCACGTCGTCGACACGGAGCCGTTCGAATAGTCTTGATGCCGCGCTAGCTTTGACGGCACCCCCAGAAAGTGTGCGAGAGGGAGACGACTATGAAGAAGGGAAAGACTACTCAGGAAGATCGAGCAGTCCAAGCTCCCATTCAAGCAGTTTCGTACTCGGGAGAGTCATGTAGATGGCTTCTAGTTCTACTTCAGCAAACATTCGGTTAGAAAATAATTTATCGAAGGCATCTGTGAGTGCTCTCGGCAGTTTAATTCACGCATCTGCCCAGGTATAAACTTGATATATAATTAATCTCCTTACCGCCTTCACGGACTAGGTACGCATCTGGATACGTGACAGCTCCTTACCGCCTTCACGGACTCGGTACGAATCTGGATACTTGATAGAATACACGGTCCTTTTTGTTGGTCAATGTTGATACTGATGACACGATACCCCTGCTTGGGATCTCGCGCGACGACTTACATATTGTTAGGTAGATGCGTCTTGCTGTGCTTATTGCTGTGTATGTCCGTCGCTAAATTCCCTGAAATGATCATACTCGTTTGTTGCAGATGTATACGAGAGCCGAAATACCTGGGGTTAGACATGTGAGTAGTTTTCACTGATCGCAAGAGCGCTAGACCAGCGATCGATCAGAGCGATCAGGGCAAAATTGGTGTGCTGCAGGCGGGAGCCATGCACCAGGAAAGCGTCCATGAGCTAACTTCCTATTTCGAACGCGGACATCGCAACGGTCATCGGGGTACTTGTATGAATGGTACAAGAGAATACTAGCGTCTTTCAGGATGCGCCGAGAAGTCACTTAGCATGATGCACACACGATAAATGAGTCAATGGCGAAGATGTTGCAAATGGGAAGGAGCAAAGACATCTGGCGTATGAGGACAGTAAAACACGTTATAAGGAGTATCAGCTTGGCGTAGTAGGCGATGTTTGAGGACAACGCGTTCTGCGTGCTGCAGCCACGACTCCTCTTCTCAGGTAGCAAATTCTCACACATCAGGGGCATATCGGCTTCATACCAGGGGAATATTGGCTGACCATGAGCTTTCAGGGAGTTGATTGAGAACGTAAACAGTCTGATAAGACTGGTAAAGCACGTGAAATCTATGAGACACTGCGCAGGCAGCGGCTCACCAGCCTTTTCCCAGGTCATCATCGACTGTCATATCCGAGTCAGTGGATAACGCCACCTGACTAAAACCCAAACCTAGAAGATGCACCCTAGCATTTTTGTTCATCAGACGAACAAGAACGACAGTGATCATGTTCTGGGGGAGGACGCACCGGTAGAGTATTTTAGCAATGCCGTCAAGATGCAGAAGCAGGGCCGTTGAGGCTAGAAGTCCCAGGAGAACTCTGGAATTGGCCAGAGCGAGATTAGCATTGACCTGGACTTCATCGCATGTATAATACAAATTCAGGGGGTTTTATGGCCCACAATAGCGTGTAGCCATCGCGCAACGCGTGTTCCGCAAGTCTCCGCAAGGGACCCCGCGGTACCGGTCCCAATACTACAGCTTCCAAATCTGGTATACCGCCGATCATAGCGGAACTAACCAGACTCGGAGGCGGCCCCGGGGCGGCCCCGCGGGACGCGCACTAAGGCGGCCTTTTCAAGACCGACAACCACCTTGTGCCATTTTATTTTGTCTCCACCAAGTAACAGGACAAAGTCTGCCGGATTGGGGCAGCTGCGATGTAGTGTGTGATCACGTGGTGACCGGAGTGGCGTCAACCGCCAGCAAACGCCGGGCGAACGCACCTCTTCTTTGTCCGCCTACCTCTCTATTCTTGCTCACAAGTGTTCAATGGCTAAAATATTCGACGCCAGGACTTCAGCTATCTGTTTTCGCCTTTAGAATCGCCCATAAGAACGCGCTCTTTCCTTCTTTTACCCTCCGCTGCACCCAATCTCGATCCCAGCTCCTCGCACCTCTACCTTTCAAAGGGCCTCTCGTCGTCGTCGCATGTCTGACACATCCGATGTGTCCTCCATGTCCCAGCTGGAAGACGAGTAGATCAATAGGATTGGTCCCAAGGACCGCACGTTGGTACAAGGTCGACGAGCTCGAACCTGACCTCGTAAGTCTCCGCTGAGCCTTGCTCTTGATCCTTGGGTGAAGGGGACGCCGCAAATTTGGAAGCGAAGAGTCCACTGATGGATGAACACGTACTTACAAGCGACGCGCCGACACCGACCTTGTTGACATCGGCAAGATCGCGGACCGGTTGATTCGGGCCCTCCGCTTCATCGGACATCGCTTGGACGGAGTGTAGGCACTCGACCGCCCGCACGTCTTTTGGAGGCGATTGTGCGGATGAGAACGCTCGGTCTGAGCGAGTGCGCGAGCTGCCATATGGGTGAGTTACCACCTCGACGTTTCGAATGCGCATGCAGGCCATCAATTGTGGGGGATTCGAAGTCGTTACGATGCCGAGCGACATCGGACTGCCTGGTGATCTAGACATAGAGTAGCTTGCGCGGTTCTGTGTTGGAGAATTACGCGCATACTCCTCCTGACAAGTGGCTTGCAACGTTGTCCCGCAGGGGCCGCATACACCCACAGAGGGCGCTTCCCATAAACGCCGCGCATTGTCCGTTGTGTATGGGATCCCTTTCAAAATTGGTGACACCCGGGCATCCGCAAACTTGTCCCAGCAGCGCCACCGATATCTTATGATGGCCAATTTCACGACAATCAACTGCAATCTAGCCATGGTTCTTACTGGGAGCCGATCGTGACGCACTTAACTAGACCACTCTATTTCCTCAAGTCCAAGAAGCTGTGTATCAATTTTGGCGCCAGCGAGAATTGCGACGAACTCATGACATCCTGACCTGGCTTGCCTCATCCCGTCTCAATTTCGCTTAGTCGGCTCGTACACGGTACCTCCCCCGCTGCAGCCTGGTGCATACTAGATGCGCCACTGATGACTCTCACACTTATCATCCATTCTTGCGTTTGCGAAAAGTATCAGGAAGTCGGCATTCTGCGAGGCTTCAAATAAGACGTACCTTAATGCCGAATTCCCTCGTCCGGGATCTGATATACAGCACCGTAGATCTCGCGGAAACAAATGGTGTTCAATTTGATGAATGATCAGAGCACAAGGGCGCGCATCGATTCGGACGCGAGTATACATGCGTGAAGGTTATAGATCCAGTCAAGCTCGGCGAATCGATGGATGTGTGCGACAGTGTCGACGTTCTCGAAACTGCCGCAGACCAGCGGTTTCGTAACAGGGCCGGATCCTCGGAGCGAACGACAGGGCGAACTCGGGGCTGCAGTCAAGCAATTTGGACTAGATGTCAAGTTGTCAATACGAACACTGTCAATTCGCTAAGACCATACAGTACACGCGCACATATCGGACGCACTGAGTCGTGGTGCGGGAGACAACCCGAGCAGGATGCAGCGAAGACAGGTGAGATGCGCCGGTGGTGATGTACGGGCGAATGGGTGAGAGGAGGGAGGGTTGCCGAGGCGGTGCAGCGATGCCGTTGCCATGAAACGAGGCCAGCAGCAGTCAAATCCGACCACTCAAATCCTACGCGGTGTTACATGATGACCGACCGAGCATAGCCCCTTTCCCAGCGAGGAGCGCGTCGCCGCTTGGCAAGCCAGCGTGGCTGCCAAGTTCGGCGCCGACTCGGCGGCAGCGTCGACGGGAGCGGCGAGCGCTGACCAAGCCCTCGTTAGCGGCGGGACACGTGATGGGCGGGCGCGGGCGGGTGCGCGGCACGGCCAGCGATTGGCCGGCGGAGGCGGCCCCGGGGCGGAGCATTGCTTGCGCGGGATGTCGAGCGCGGGCGTCTACCGTGCCAGCCTGCGGTCTCGGACCACTGCGCTGCCGTTTGGGCGACTCTTTTGGCAATTTGGCCTGCAACCCCACCCGCGTCCCGGTCGAGGCCCGCGTCAGCAGCCTGCAGGGTTGCGTGTGCGCTCCCATCGCATGCCGTCACCCCCTGTGTAACTTTCTGACTCAGATCATCCGATTCAAATCATTCTCTCCTATAAAGCCACCTGCCATGTCCGTTGCGCGCAGCCCGCCCCCGTTGTTTATTGTCCAGCCTCTCTGCCCTGGTCCCTCCCTTCTCTTGTTTATTTCCCCTGTTGTATCATGGCCGCGTTCCCCCCTCAGATGTCGTCCACGGGCAATTCCGGTTTGGATCCCTACTACTTCTCTAAGGACACCCCTCGCTCCGACGCATACGGTTACGTGCATTACGATTCGAAGGGCAGGTTGGGGAAGTTTGAGGAGACGGCTGCACAGCGGCGCGAGCGCGTCGAGTTCCTGCGCCGGCGAGAGTGGACACGGAGGATTGCGGAATGGATTGAACACTCAGCGAACTCACAGGTACGTTCTCCATTTCCCCTGTGTTCTTGATCGTCGTCGCTAAGTACGCCCTGTTTTCAGGAGCTCGCGCACATCACCCATTCATGGGCAGACATCCTCGCCGCGGCCGACGCGGTAGACGATCTCGACGATACGGCCAGTTCACCATATACCCTTGAGGAGCCGGAGCCAGAGCCGTACATCATCTACACTGCATCTCCCCGGTCTGGCTCGTTCTCCTGCAGCATTCCTTCCTATACCCCTCCTTCCCCGGCACATACCCTCCCATCACCTGCTCCGCGCAGTTCGCACTCCCAGCCCCGCCGCAAGCGGTCCGGCGGCCTCCCTCGATCGCGTCACTCCTCCCTCTCGTCGATTTCGGAGGAAGAAGAGGCGGCTGCTCCATGTTTCTAATTATCGCCGCCCATCTACCTCCGCTGCCCTCGGTCAACCGGCTATCGCTCGATCAGCATCTCGGGTATGCCCTCAACTATCGGCTCATCGAGAGACCCGAGTCCCTCTCGACCTGTGCCATTCTGAAACCGGCAAAATTTCCGCCAACGTGTCGGGACATTTTATGCGTCGCACGGTCGCGCCCTTCGTCTTTCGCATCGATGTGCGTCGAAAACGACGTCGCCCCTTTTAAAATATTTTCGTCCTTCTCGGGTTTAACGCGAGTCTGCCTGAGGCCGCTCACCACCATGTATCGGTATCTACGCTATTGCTCCAGGTCCTAATCCGTGTACTACTACATACCACCGTCACTCCGTAGCATCTAGTCTAAGTTAGAGTCTCGGGTGTACATGATTCCCTTACTGCATAATTTAACCATCATCCTACTCTGCTTACGCGTCGATTCACCTGTCTGCTTACGCGGGCTTACTCCTCCGAACATTGAGACTGACAGTGCGCAGGGCTTGACGTAAGGAGAGTTGACCAAGCGAGCCCGGTATCCGATTGCCGAACACAGCGGGCACTGAGCAAATCATGGAAGAGTAAGAATCGATGGTTCGTACAGATGGCTCATACAGCTCGGAATCGGGATCCGTTCGACATTATAGCGACACGCGCGGAATGGAAGAAATGAAGCAGTAAATCGTGGTTATGAATGACTGAAATAGTCGTACGAGAGGACTCGCTCGGTGGTATCCTATGCAAGGTATCTGTCCCAGGAAATCAAAGTTCATGGCCATCTAGGAATGCAAATTCGGGCATGCTTCCCCGCCCAAGCGCCGCCTACGCCGCCTTCGATGGCAAGGGCGGAACCGGAGGGACGGGCGGCACGCCCGATATTGATTGCTGGCCCTGCCGTGGCCGCTGCACCTTCCGCTGCCGCATCTCCTTTTCGCGCGCCTCGCGCTCGGCCTGCATGCTGGTCATCGTCTGCAACTGCTGTGCAATGAAGTCGGAGGTGTTTGGTCTGTATAAATGCATCACATAACGGCGATGATAGAGCGCAGGGACACGAGGCAATTGCATTGTCAGTGACGCCCAACTACACGCACTCAACGCAAGTGGAAGTGGACGTACCGCATGCGTAAAATTCGGAGGATCGTCTCGCCATTGTTGATCTCCTTCTCCTGCTGCTTCTCCTTCTTGCGGTTCTTGATCGTGCCGAGGTTGCGCTGTTGGTACACACTCTTTGCCCGCTTCTTCACCGCCGGCGTGGCCTTGAGCGCCTGCTGCATCATGCGGACGCACTCCTCCATCAGGGCATCACTGCAAGACGTCAAGCATTAGCATGTGGCATAGCGGCACTAGATCAAGACCGGACATACGTATGCCAGTCGTAGTACAGCCGGATCGAAAGCACGTCCCGGTATTTCTGGTTCTGGAGTGACTCGATGGGAACAGGTCCTTCTCCGCCGGCGTAGAAGTAATCGCGCAAGAACTGTGATGGTTGGTTATTTTCAGCTGCAATAGAGGCATTTAAAATGAGACATACCTTTAGCCACTTGAATACAATGTCAACCTCCTTGTCACTTAGCGGTTTCATATCGCTGGGAATGTCGGACAGTGGGGGGATAAGCAACAGTTCGACAACAGCCAGAATCTCCTTCCACACTCTCGTCATCACCATCTCCTTCGTCGAGTCGCTGAGATACGTGTTAAAGGTGGGCAGGATGGCATCGAGATAGTCGAATAACGGTACAATGGCCTGCTCAATCTCCAAATCGGAGAGTGCTTCTGGCCGTATGCGGGGTTTCTCGGATGAAGGGAGTGGTATCTGGACTTCGGAGTTATTGGAACCAAGCGCTTGGCCAAAGAGTGCGGTCACATTGCCCAGCGCCTTGTTGTAGTCGATGCTACCAGAACTCGACTTGACAAGTGTCTTGAGAACAGTGCGTGAGACGCATTGTCGAATGAAAGGCGAGACCTCAGAACGTTCTAATCAGATAAAAGACACAGTCTGAAAAAGACATAAACTGACCTTGTCAATGAAGACGCGGACCATGTCGCTTTCCGCTCGCTTGAGTGATCTGAATGCGCGACCAAAGTAGAATTGCAGGTCGTCCTTCTCGCCCTCCATGCTGACTCGAAGAAGTATCCGTCCCTGAGAGTCCAAATCCATCCATTGATCATGAGCGAGGAAGTCGCCATATCGCCGAGGGTCAAGACAGATGTAGGCCCTTCCAACTACATCATGCTTGCCAATCAGCGCCCGGTCACGAACGCTGACCATCAGCCAAAGTGGTTTCTCTACGGACAGGTCGAACGTCTCGTCCCCTGCACGAATAGTTCAGATTTTTCATTGGTTTACAACACGCGAAGCGCAGCAAGCACTTACATCGGGGGTTGAGGGTTTCGTATATAGTTCGTGTCTTAGCCAGCCGATTGCCTTGCTCGTCGCTGAGAGTCACGAAGGTGTCGAGTTTGGACGATGGACTGCTGTCCAGTGGGATCAATCCCTCAGCGATGACAATTTTGACAGTGAATAAGAACCGATCCACTCGTTCAGCCTTCTCGGGTACCGGAGGAGCACTCTCCAGGACCTCCATCTTCTTGTCTGCCTGCATCTGGGTATACATATTGTCCAACAATCGTCGGGCTGCTTCAACATTGTTGAGCTTGACGCACGATTCGGGCTGAAATGTAAATGGCTCAATCTTCTTTTCACCAGTGATTGTCAATTGTTTAGCTTTCTCGAGCCACGCGGACGACTTCTGAGGCTGTAGATACTCAGAAGGTCTTGGGAACATTTCTGCCATAAACAATTCCTCCACGCTGCGACAGTACTGTTCAATTGCCTTGCTGATGGTCTGCAAGTGAGGAAACAGTCAGCAATGAGTAATCGAATTCACAATGTTTCAGCCTTCCGACCTTGGATAGACTGGTAAAGAATCGGGCCTCCTGATAATCGTCCGCCCACTCGAGATCCTCGAGAAAGGTGATAGGACTCCGTAGAGAATCAAACAAGTCGACGATCGATGAACTATGTCCTTCCGTACCCTCAGGTTGAAACTAAAAGCATGATCAACAATCCATCTCCGCTAGCCGTTGAAAGGGGCAAACCTTGTCAGCAGCAATAGCCTAGAATGAATATCAGAATATCACAAAATTAAAACATGTGTATGATACGCACTGCTTGTACCCATTGAGTAGTCTTACTATCGGTATTCACAAGCCACTGCTGGACGTATGGCTCAAAGAATCCACCCAAGTCAAAGTCGATGTGACCGCTGATAGCCAATGACAAAGATGCAAGTGGAGAACAGATGATCTGACGGACCTTGAACAGAATGCCTGATACATTCCCAGTAACGTCTTTGTTCGGCGATATAGCGCAAAGATGTCTTGGATAGGAACATCCGGTGTGGGCCCATTCATCGAATCTGCGAAAAGCCTTTTCCGAGAGTCATCTAGATCCGCGATGAAGTGGGGAATTTGAACCTCCAGCACCAACGAGACAATATCTAATTCACTATAGAAATCGCGATCTTGTAATCTTGGAAGTATGGTTGAAAGTGAATAGAACATACCCGAGTATAGGCTCCGGGAATCGCTTGTCCAACAGCTTCGCCCCCTTCTCGATCTCGTCCGTCATGAGCAGATATGGAAGTGCCATATTGACTCCTGGTGTAGCCTGTAGATCGCGACTTTTCTGCTCATAAAAGCGGGCTGAAACGGATCGCACTTGTTCCTGGACGTCTTTCAGACGTGCAGAGACATCCACGTCGTACTGCGCAAGGAGACCGCTATCCCGCACTGTCTCAAGGATATGTACATAGGGCGCAATATCAGATGGTTTCAAATTAGGGAGTGCATCCATGGCATGATAGAATGCCGACAGGAATATGCTGAATAGACTGCCATAAATTTGCCCCAAGTACTCGCGCTACAGTCACAAATTTGTAAGCATCAGCATGCGCGTAAATAGTTCCTGAAACGACACACATCTTGAACAGGCCATTTGTCCAGATCCATTTCGTGTATGACCTTAGATATGTTCTGTAGCGCTTCTGGAATACACTCCAGTGGAACTTCGTTACGCTCGTAGAATTGTTTGACCAAGTCCAGGAAACACGAGACGCGGTACGGTTGGCCGATTCGCCACCGCAGTGCACACTCATTAATGAGCTCAATGTGCGATGCAGAGAGAATTCCTAATGAAACCTCGTCATCGTCACCTACCGTCGGGCTCAGCATAGCTTCTAGGTCAGCAATCAAACAATGCTCAAGCAACCTTCGGTAGTACCGCCTAGGATTAGGAGGGATGAAGGTGAAGTGATGACCGACGGGAATGTCCTCATCACCGTCGACGCCCTCGCCGATGGTGCCAAAATCATCAGACGAGATACTGTTTGTGTGTACCAGAGAATGTCGACTGCTGATAGATGCATGTCGCGAGGTTCCCGATGCATAGAACGAGTCAGGCCGCGCTGACATCTGTGAGTATACCGAAACAGGGCGAGCCTCGGATGGAGAGGGATCTGACGATGAGGACTTGGCAAGTTCAGGATTGACCTGCACCATGACCATCATCAGCTGTGAGATATGAGAAGTTTCCAATGTTCGCCAGTGTTGCCAGGCAGCCTCACTAGCGAAATCTTCTCGTCGGCCCGGGAAGCTTGCCCCTGCGTTTATGTTCTTGAGGCATGTCTGGAAGACTATATTGGTTGTTGCATCTCTCACATTTCAGTGAATGACTCGCCTTCAAATCTGTTAATGCTGCCTTTTACGATGTGAGTGTAACGTTGTAGTAGAGCCAATTCAACCAGTACCTTCCCTGTGCAATATTTTGAGATTTCATCAATTTCTTTCTGTACTGCAAAATCGGGCAACTTGAACAGTTGCGCAGCTGTCGTTACTAGCGACATCTCCGATAAATTCTGGCTGACGCGCTTGGCTTTCATGGGGACCACCGAATCACGATCGCGAGAGGTGGATGATGAATCGTATCCAGAATCACTAGCTGCTTGTGACGGTGCCAATTTTTCGGTGTACATGTCTAACCTTGAGGTTAACTCCGGCGGGACATGACTGACGTGACGCAGACAATCTCGCAGAAGACGAATAAAGTGGGCGATGTGCTTGTTCAACTCGATTTTCCAGCCGTCACCCGCTAAACTAGGTTCCTTCTTGAGGATATTTGTGGCATTCGTTGCGAACATAAGAATGAGTTCTTCGATCTTGCGATTTTCTTTCATTTGTCGCCGGAAGTTTTCGTCCTTCACTTGACCATAGAAGACAGCCATAGTCCGTCGTGTGAGCTGGTCGGAATAACTAGCAAGAGCATCAATCAGCATTACTGCAAAAATGGTTGACATAACGCACGCGGCATCTTTGCCCATAGCAATGTCCTGCAGCTTCTGTTCCAGTACCTTCAGCAGATCCTTGGGAAACCGCACACCCTTTCCTCCATCTCTGGTGTCCGTGAAGAGATCACCAATCGAAAATATAGAGCTTTGGAGTGCACCCTGTATCCGGGCGGAGTAGTCCCTGTTTTTGGTTTCCGCCTCTGGCTGTGTCTCCAGCGCCTTCGGTTGCATTTCATAACTTAATAATCTGCAGAACAAAGACTATGTTAACGTTATGCAGGTTGAACGGTCCTATCGATCGCACCCGACCCGGAGAACGAAGCTTCACAAAACCACTGATTAGAACTAATCATATCGTTATCACTTGACCAGAATTACGCACTTCGTTAAGTCCTCGTCCGACACCCTGTACTTCGAGACGCGTCTTTCATGCATTGAGCCCGCATAGCTTCGTCGGGACATAGCGAGAGAATTGCAACTTGACAAGACGCAGACCTTGATAGGGCTGAATGGTGGATATGTGCCTGTCAGTATTCCAAGCCTTTACGTGCAAGATTTGTCGCCGTGCCGGCAAAGACGATCCGAAGGAGAACAAGTAAGAACAAGTAGCAGGGGCTATGGATACCTGTGAAGACCTGGTCTTGGATGCAGCAGGGCGATCCAGTTGCGGAGAATGACCTCCGTGAACTTATTACTTGCCGCGTGACACGAGCTTGATCCCGCACCGCCACGATCTCACTTAGGTCCTCTGCCGCAGTCAGGCGTCGAGTCCAAATTCCAAAGCGCAGCAATAAGTGCTGTATTATTGTCAAGGACTATAGAGACCTAGTCGCAATATACACGATGCAAGAAGCAAGCCGTGTGGATCTGGAAGTCGTCGCTTTCGTTATGCCCGCTATACGTACTACAAGTTTAACATAGCTCCGAATCCAAGTCTATCCTTCACTTCGTCCGCAGGCAAGTGGTGGCGGCTGTACTACTAATTAGGTGATTGTCTTGCGTTAGCGTCTTTTGGAAAATGAAGGTGCGCACTGCGCAGCGAGTCTCGTTTTCGCACAGGAACATTTTGCAAATACGTAGAATATCGCCTAAACCAAAACACAGTCGACGGCCAATCCCAAATGAATATTGCGTTACACGTTCAACTTGCCCACTACCATTTCTACAGCGTCCTTGAGCCCATGTGCCTCACGTACAACGCTATCATTCTCGTCCTCAGCACACTCGGCAATGAAAGGAGTCGTTTCTGAAGCAAAGCCTGGATCAAATGTTGGTATAAACGGAGCATTATCCGGTGCGAAACAGACTCACCTAAAAGCTTTCCGCCGTGGGCTTTCCATAAGGCTTTACTACATGTCAAGCTATATAGGCGCAGCTTGGCATTCTCCGAGCGTGTATGCATCAGTATGTCGATATTCATAGTTTTGAGCAACGCATCGTCGTGAATTACTTCCATAGTAGCAACAAGACAGTCTGCCAGAGTGGATCGACCATCGACTTGTTGTGATTCTATACAGACAGGAAGTTGCTTGACGATGGAGTTGACCAATTGCTGTAACTTATCGTGCCGCCAGAATGCTTGAACCCATTGTCAAAAATTGATCGTGATGGATGTGAATAGAAACCGACGTACCTCCCTCGTCATGTGCGAGCGTTTTGGCTAATACCTCCAAGACTGACACCCACAAAGGTTGACCTTGACGGTTACCAGTACAGTAATCGTCAAGAACTTTCAGTAAAGGTGGCCAGAGGAACATCATGTAAGGAACCATAAGAGCCTGTGGAGTACTTAGTAGAAGCTTTGTCAATCGTTTGCGGCATTACCTTGAAGTAGTCCAACAAAGCGGCGTATGTACGGCAAAACACAGCTGCTCGAGCCGTTGCAATATCAGCTGCAAAGATGTCAATGTGAGGACATCATCACAGTACGGACGCAGTCGCTTACAGTTTTCATCCGAGAAGGCCCAATCAGACAGCTTGCGAAGGAGTGGCTTGAATGCATTTTCGTTGAGTTTGACAACTAGCTCCAAGAATGATGATATTAATTCAGGCTCAGTCTGATGGCGGTATATCAGCAAGTAGACATACGGCATGGAAGCAGTGCTTACATCTGCGTTACCACTAGCGGCATTTATCTCGAAGGCGTCTTGGAAGATTTTGAAGACGTGTCGCAAATTCTCGAGAATAATGGGCCGATTTGATGCACGAATGGCACGTTTCAACAAGTTGAAGTAACCAAGCCGCTTGTACTGATCGTTCTGGGAGAACGTAAATATCGGAAGAAATACGCGAAGAAGTGGAACATACAACTAATCCGCTAGCATTGAGCGATGTCCATATCCCCCCTAGTGCTGGGAGAAGAACAGTTGAAGGAACTCGATTCGCCATAGTCTTCACGACGGGCTCCAGGAACGTTGACTCTGCCTTAGACGACGCAGTGCGGAATTCGATGTATAAGTCAATGACCTGAACGAGATCCTTCTCGCCCCAAAATGTGGGTACCGAAGTCAGGAGACTTTGTAAGGCATTCAACGCGATGGCGGGGGAATTATCGGCTAGTCCGATATGTATCATCTGCCCTATGTGGTTAAGTGTCGAAATCTCACCTCCGTCTACTCGCATGCATTCGCGTATGAACGCGACACATTGCCAGACGATTGTCTTGATATGGGGGATGATCCGCGGTCCAAAACTGGAGCTATAAGTCATCTCAGAGGTATGCTCATAGGAAGATTAAATTATGGCCTACCAGAAGGATAAGAGTAAAGATAACGTTACCGACATGTTACGACGGGCCTGCATGTTTTCAAGCACGAGCGGAACAATTGTCATTAGTATGCCTTCTTCGCCTGGACACATAGTCGTGCTTATAGCCCTCAGGGCCTGGAACGTGGTGCTAAGCACCGACTCTTCTGCAGTGGATGTGATGATCTGCCGGGTGCGCTCTACAATTTGGATCATAACAGATGTTGATTCGCGCCTGATCGGATCGGAGACAGCTGTGAGTCGTTCACCCAAAAGTTCTAATGCGCCGGATTGGATCTGTATCACTGGTTAGCCATAGGTCCACCATCTCACAGCCTTCTCTATACCTTGGCATTCTCGGTTGAAATCATAGTCAGGACACCACTGATAAAGTCAGACGCGGGCATGATCTGTAACGCGCTGTTCATCACATTTCTTGCTGCTACAGAGATTTCATTTCTAGACTCATCCTGAGCGTTGGTTACCGCAATCTTAAGCAGGTGAGATAATAGTTCCGAGGTCAATGATTGCCCTTGAAGTTCCTTCGCAGAAGACTTCGCGGGAAGTTCTTTCAAATGATGGTGACAGAAAAGGAGTAGCGCAAGTGCCCTCCTCCTCCACAGCGGAGAGGCCTGATGACTTTGGTCGTCATCACTGAGAAAAATGGTAAAACATCTGCTTTTTCAATTGAGAAAAATCGCACGTTGCAGTTGCCAAGAACGTTGTATCGGGGTTGCTCGAACTTGTTTGGTTTGATAGTCGCTGTACTTCATGCAGAACTTCGATCAAAAGCTGAGGAGCAGGTCAACGATACTCCAAATTTTGAATGCACAAACATACCACAAAGTGATCTTGTATTGAGTAATGCTGGAATGCGGTAAGCGGCAGTATGAGCGAGGCATGAGCATCCTGAGCATTCTGTCGCACGACACGGTTTGACACTCTATCTATAAGTAACATGCAAATAGGAGCAAAGAAGTCACTTGGGCCAAGAACATCAACTAGATGTGAGAAGAACCTGACGGGGGATGTGTGAAGATAGCACCAACAAGGAGTCCGAAGCCACTCACTTTGCCCGACGATGTCGTGGTATATGATTTGAGGCATCAGTGAAGATGCGTAAGAACTCCCTGGATCCGATATACAGATCGAGCTTCGTCGTATACATACTCTTCAAAGATGCGGTCATTACTGGGACAGTACTCTCGATTGTCTGTGTGATATGGTATCAGAAGCATCCTCTCAACATGAATTAGCAGCCAACCTTTTGAACCACCCTGAAGCTGTACGCATCATCCCGGTGAAAGACATTCGAACCCATGAACGTGAATATCGGCATGATGTTATGCAAAACAGCATCTGGAGCCAGTCTGGCTAAGCCAGCCATCAATAATAGTGCTTGGTGGAATGTTTGGGGATTTTCAGATGCTGGAGACCGCGGTCGTAAGGAAATTGTAAGTGTCATCCATGAAAGAGGAAGCTTTAGGTCGCCCACTTCTGATTAACTCAACAAGGACGTCGACCCTCACGGCATTAGGAGGGACATCTGAATCTGCCTGTACATATATAATCATTAGGATACCATCGTTAATATCTCTGCAGAAACGTACTCGTATACTTCCGACCGCATTGTCTACTGCAGACATTAAAAGCTGTTCGATGTAATTGCGGTCTGCAGGCTGTACAGATGCATCGTGTGCAGCCTTATTCAGTGTCTCTAACAAGCAGGCAATCAATTCAAGAGAGCTAGGGAGAGGTCGCGCGGCTAGGACTTCTGCGAGAAGGCTTAAGTACGGTGTCGTACTTTGTGATCCGTCCTCTTCAGTACTAGTTGAATATGAAGTCATCCACTGCCAATAAGTGCTAATTTCGTAAATTTCATACCTTTCTAGTCTCGCGCGCTTTTGAGCCGGCTCAGTGCTTCCATCGGAAGTTGGTTGGAACAAGGTGAGGAGGCGTATCATAATTGTCACATCAACAAGGACCTCGCTGAGTAGCTGTTTGCATTCAGTTGTCTGCAGAGTTCATAAGCAATGCCCATAGAGAGTAAATCTTTGCGCGACTTACCGCGGTCACATCTTGAATGCTGATATCTAATAAAAGACGACAGAGATCTATTTTGCGGTCGGCCGAGAGCTTAGAAAATAGACCTCGCTGCAGATTGTCCCGCAGTATTGACCTCAGAGAGTCCATGTTTTCTGTTTGAAACGATGATGATGAGTGTGTATGCTCGCTCCGGACACGGTAAAAATGGCTGACTACTACTGAAGCAAACGCGTAACGTCCTTTCATATATGGACCAGGTATTTCGACTGATATCATTCAGATTGGCAACGGCAGAAGCATCAAATGACGAGACAATCAGCGTGGCGAGTTCAAGGGCTTGTGATACAGCAGTCTCAAGTTCCGTCACCATCAAGGTCTTGTCGAACATGGATTCGATTGTGGGCAATAGCATTTCGCATTTAACCTCGCTAGTTGTCGTTTCGAGGCTCTTGAGGAGCAGTTGTTTCGCTATCGGCAGGTTGCATGCATTCACGTGCGAAAGAAGGTAGCACAGTATCCTTCGCTTATACCTACAGTCAGAATTCCAGCTAAGATTGAGACTAATCGACCAGCCGTATATGGACTTACCCTGCATTTTTCTTATTATCTGATTTGATCGCTGTCAGATTTTGCTGGTGGAATACCTTAAGGTAGTTCGCATCCTGTACTAGATGGTCGTGGGTTTCCCCGAGACTGTGAAAATACCTACGGAGATCCGTCAAATCGGCATATTGCAAAGCACCTACAAGCATCAACAGCGGATGTTAAACACAGCGAGATATTCCACGGAGTGAGTACTTACCTGAGTCATCACCATAAATCGTGTCGAAGGCGTATACCGCGAAGATGTTTTTCGAAAGCGATAAGTGAGTGATGATGGCGATAACTCTCAAGGCCGCCTCGCGGACACGAAGATTAGCATGCTGGACAATGACTAGGACAGCAGGAAGGATGGTCTGGAAGTCTAACCAGTGCTCGGCAGCTATATGAGCTTCGAGGAATGCCTTCGCATGCCCAAGAGCCGAAAGAATCACATGATCACGCATTTCTTTGTGCACCTCTGTAACCCCAGGAGGAGACAGCCACACACCCGCGAGGAATGTCAGAGCCTCGTCAGCAAGGTTGGTGAAGAGTATTCTCAGGAGGTTGGTAGATAGAAGAGGCAACCTTGGCGAAGAGTTACTCAAACTGTACACAGCCCGCATGAGCTGCACGTAGAGGGTGCCTCTTGTATCGCACCCTTGGCTCCCGAGTGACACCTAAGGGCGGCAATGAATTTGTGTTAAGAAGTCAAACAACACAAACTCACAGAAGGCATCAACCAATTCAACTTTACACCCGAAGGTCGATGAATTTTTGGAAGCATAGCTAGAAGAGCAATTTGCAGTCGATGAGTGGTGTTCCGGCTACTCGGCTTCAAGACAACGGCGGTTCCTAGACTCGTGTCATGCAAGAACTGACAAAGTAAAAGAATGAGTATTCATGTACTCAATGATCAGTCATCTTGAGCACCTACAGCATGGATATCATTTACATCTCCCATGAAGTCACCCATCACCTCAAGACTATCAAGCTGCATGGCCTGTAGCATTTGATGTGCAGCATTAAGTTGATGTTCGCCCGACAAACGCGACAGCAATGCACGAGCAATAAGATATGCAAGAGCACGAGAATGTGGGTTGGGGTCTTGCAGCCGTTTCAGCAGAAAGGCGAGGAGGTTACTATAATCATCCGAAGATAGTATGTTGTCTAGCGGGACCTAAGACTCAGAACCTAAGCGAGACAGTCAAACCACTCACCCGCCATCTTGGCAGCGATTGCCAAATTGATGCGCGATAGCAGTTGCACATTACGGTGCCCGTCGTCCCCCCGCGCGCCCCTGTCATTTCTTCCCTCCTCCCAACGAATTGCATCCACACACCCGCCCAATAACACGTGTTGTCCGATGCCCATAAGGTTCTCGCGATCGTTCTCAGCCTCTTCGATGATCCCCCACAGCTCAGACGCCGTGGTCTGTTTTGGTTTCGAATATAGAATGTTCGGGAAGAAAAGATCATGCACGACACAATCCGCAAGGGACGACTGCGTGCCGCGCAGGTAGGAGAAAACATGTTTCGCCATGAAAGAGAGGTGCAGTAAGACGACACTACGATGCGAAGAACCTGGATTTCGGATGGCCTCGGATACAGACAAGATATACGCGGCAGCATCGGTCATGAGCACGGGGACAATGTCTGCAGGTTTTGCGTACAGCGCCTCTATGACAGTGGGATCTGTGTCTTGGACACGCAAACGCAGGGAAGTTTTGATAGTGTCCTGCATGACACGAGTTATTCAATGACCTATCAGGCATTACGAAAGCAGTCAATTATTCACCAATTCTGTTGAAGGAGTGTCTGGGTTTGAGAGAGCATTCAAGAGGTCTCGTGTAGCTATGGCTCGAACCTGTGCATCTGCACTAACCGACGCAACCACTAAGTCGGGTTTCTGCGCATCACCGGACCCGCTTGAGCCAGAAAGAGGCTGAAATATGATATTGAGTCTCATGATATTACGTTGGTATTCAGCCCACGTACTATCGAGATGGACAACACGAGCTGCTCGATGGCATCTCGTTTGCTCTCGTCTTGGTTTATTGCTTCCGAGCACACCGACTGGATCGTCTGTGAATGACGCTGCTGCAAAGTGGAGAGAAGCTTTTTGGCTTCCAGTATGACCGGAGTGGACTCGTCATCTTTTTCGATCAGCTTGTCCAAGAGCAATGATACGGATCGGCGGATAGTACTAGTAGAAATGTTCTTGAATGCAAGGATGGATGCAAACAGCCTGACCGAGCGCTCCTTGGCGAATCTGGAGATAATTTAGCTTGAATAGAAGTGGCGATACTGTGAACTTACTGAATCATCAATCCAGCCATCAGAGGGTTCAGAAGCTTATCCGAGCCAACCCAATCCAAGCTCTCCTCAAGCTCAACATCGATTTCACTGCCGAATTAGAGAAAGAATAAGCGACATACATTAAGTGCGTAGATCAGTCAAACACGCACGGAATGGTCAAGAAAGCCTTTACAAGCGAGCGCGGGAATTTGTCCATCTCATCTTGAGGGGCGCATATACATAGTAGAGTACGCACAAACTGTTTCGCCGAACAACGCGTGGTACATGACGCTATCGCGACGAGAACAGCCTTCATTGTTTTGGAGGTGAGTCTACACTTTTGGGACAATGCAGCTAGAATTAAGAGGCTACCCAGCTTCTCGATACCCTCAGCATCCACGAAGTGCTGTGAGTTCAAAAACCTCTTACAGTGGATTCATGAAGCACCGTCTCTCGGACCTTCGCTGCAGTTTCTGATCCAAGTTGTGTTGGCTCCAACGCAGCGGGCAGGAGATATCCCATTGTTCCTTCATCTGGGTCTGAATTCCGTGCGATAAAGTCTAGTAGCACGCTGGTGTGAAACATGACGAGAGTCTTGTGCGCGCCCAATCCACCTGTTTTCAATGTCGAGGGCAGGAGGTTTGCAACAAAGCGAGACAAGTCCGAGTTTTTCAGCATCTCGGTTATGAGCGTGCTTCGTGGCAACGGCGTCGCGGTGGTCTTGCACGCGATCAAGAATCGGAATGGAGACTGGTCACTATGTTCAATTTCGTTATGTCTGTTACATTCAGAGTAACAACATTGGAAAAACATACGCCATGTGCAAGATGGTCATCATTTTGACAAAGTGAGGGGATTCGTGGTAAGGCAGGAACAATGCAAGCATTTCTAGGACATTGAATTCGTTGACCCTGTGTGGTATTTATATTCAGCTCCGCCAAATCACATTGAAATCGTTTGAGAGCGACGAAATCTGGGTTGACCACGCTATATCATGCTCACCCCCATCTCGCGTGACAGTTCACCTCAGTGAGAGGTATTTCTGTTGGATATACATACCTAAATCGTCGCACAAGCCATTCCAACACCTTCCCAGTAGGGGAATCCAGCAAATAAGGTCCGAGGAGCGGAAGGAATGAGGCAAGCTCTTGATCAAGTTCTTTATTGACATCGACAGATTCAAGGGTCCTGTCCCTGGCCTTTGCAGCATCCGAAAAAAGTGTTTTTTCAAAAACTCCGAGAGAAGGTTCAAGAGCTTTCAGCTGGAGAAAGCCACTGACACCCAAGGCATATACTGTGTCCAAGTCATGTTGCTGAGCTTCTTTCGCAGAAAATAGGTACGACGCGGCGGCCTTCCGACGAGTCCTGTCCACCAAGAGCGACGCGTTGAGGGACGTGCCCTTGGCTAGTTGTGTCGCAAGACTCGATACCATAGAAGAGCGCGACTCGCAGATGCAATCCCGAGCAGACCCTGGCCGCTGCCGAGGCAAAATTTGGCTTACATCATGCGATCGCTCGATCGTGAGTTACATACACGTGATGCCACGTACGAGACGGGCGTTCAATCGGCTACACGTTTGCTAACTTCTAAGACGCAGCACTGCACTTTGTGCTTTCACCAGCTCCCTCACGCCGTCCGGCCAGTCCTTTCCCTTCAGACGACGCTTTTAGTGACTTCCGTACAGGGCGCGCGGAGATAGATTACGAGACACCCTAGAGTGTTCTTTTGGCTGGTGTGTACGTCCTGCGTAGCGGCACGAGCTCTACTTATTTCTCTTTGATTTGGCTTGCACAAAGATTTATGATCGCTACGTCTCAGTGAAGATGCGCGCATTCACTCGAATATGTTGTTGTGTCATCATTCTCCTTTCTGTGTTCTCAGAGACTGTGCTCGCGTCGATCCTGGCGATTGACTATGGTGCGGACTGGATAAAGGCCTCGCTCATGAAGCCCGGGGTTCCGTTCGACGTCCTACTTAATAAAGACTCGAAGCGCAAAATCCAATCGACAGTTGGCTGGAAGAAGAAGGATAGATTGTTTGGGGGAGACGCAGCTAGTATTGTGCGTACTTCGTCTGCTGTCCTTGACTTCTCAATGACCTCCCCGTGCAGGCAGGGAGATACCCTACTGACTCATTTTCTTCGTTAAAACTCCTTCAAGCGGTTCCGTATGACTCCGAAGCTGTTTCTTTCTTTGCCTCCATCTCAACTGCCGACGTGGTTAAGACTGAGCGAGGAACCGTCGCGTTGCGACGGTCGGATGGTTCTGAATGGTCTGTCGAGGAACTCATCGGTATGCAATTTGCATATGTCAAACAACTCGCGGAAGAGTTTTCGGGCGAGCCAGTCTACGATGTGATTGTGACCGTCCCGCCATACTACACCCAGTTCGAACGCGACTCAGTCGTCGACGCCGTGGAGCTCGCCGGCATGCGTACACTCTCCCTCATCAACGATGGCACAGCCGTCGCGGTAAACTATGCGATGACGCGTACGTTCTCTGCTCCCGAATATCATGTCATCTATGATGCCGGGGCATCGTCAGTCCGTGCGACTGTCGTGAGCTTTTCGACCGCTTCCAACGACTCCAAATCGAAGACTTCAGCCAAGGACAGTACTCAAATCAGTGTTACTGGTGTAGGGTTTGATCGTAGCATCGGTGGCACGGAGCTGGATCGACGGCTGAGGGAGTTGATGATCAGTGACTTCCAGCGGCGACATAAGCGCGATATTCGCAGTGACAAGCGGGGTATGGCCAAGTTATGGAAAGAGGCAGGACGCGTAAAGGCGATCCTGAGTGCGAACGCTGACGCGATGGCGACGGTAAGGTATCATATTTTATCCTCCATTGGCTCTCGGCCTTACAGGCCCTTTGCTAGGTGGAGAGTCTGGCTTTCGATATCGACTACCGTTCGAAAATCACCAGAGCAGACTTCGAAATTGCGTGCAGGGATCTTAAGGGCGAATTTACTCGCCCTATCTTTGACGCGTTGGCTAGTGCTGGGATGACATTGGTACGTTGTATAGTTCATTCATTGAGGTAGGAAAGTCATCATGACCTCCTAGAACAACATTACATCGGTCATCATGACGGGTGGAGCCTCTCGAACACCGATGATTCAGGCTGCAGTTAAAGCTGCAGTTGGGGAGTAAGTCACACCTCTTCCATGGATCAGTATAAACGCTGATTATATAGTAGCAAGGTTGCTATGAACGTCAACGCTGATGAGGCTGCTGTTCTGGGTGCCGCACTACACGGTGCAGCACTCAGCAGACAGTTCAAGACAAAGGACATCAAGGTCACGGACATCGGCGCATATGACGTCCAGGTATCGTATCCTGCGGAGCCAAAAAAACCCTCTGCGAAGCCCCGCACGATCTCCACTTTGGTCTTCCCATCGGGTTCCAAAACCGGTAGCAAGAAAACCATGACATTAAAGCGATCAGATGACTTTTCACTAAAGGTAGCATATAGGCAACCGCCCACAGCGTTCGTTTGTTCAATCTGTGCGAGTAGGATGTTATCTGACTGCATCACTCTTAGTTCGTTCTCCACTGATATTCTTCACGCGGATATCACTGGGGTGGCTGAGGCCATTCAGAATCTCACTGAACTCGGTGCTACTAATCCAGTCGTTAAGGCAACCATTGCGCTATCTGAATCTGGTTTTGTCTCGGTTCGCGATGTCGCTGTCCATGGTGAAATCAAGGACGGCTCCTTGACAGGTATGCGTCTATCTCCAAAATGTCATGATTATGCATCATCTTAGTCCAACAGGCAAACTGAAAGGGTTATTTGGAGGAGGCTTGACGCCATCTGAAGAAGAGATGACGGACGATGTCGAAGCGGAGACCCAACAAGAGCAAGTTGTCATGTCGGCCTCCGCCCCATCAGCATCCCCTGCCGCCGCCGAAAAGACAATCAAAGAGGATACGGTCTCGTTGGGAGTGGAGGTTAGGTGGACCTCGATACCTCCGATGTCAGCCCAAGAGAAACGTCAGGCGCGTGCCAGGTGCGTTGACTGCCACTGTCTTCAGTAATGGCTAGGTTCTGTATTGAAGTTTTGCAGATTACAGGCAGTGAATAATGAAGAAGCGGCGAAGCGGCGTGTGGAGGAAGCATTGAATGCACTGGAGGGATACATGTATCGCCTGCGTGACCTCCTAGACGATGAGAGTGCCAATGCACCATTCGTCAAATGCTCGCAGGAAAAGGAGAGAAAGAGGATTGCCGAGCAGCTCAAGGACACATTCTCTTGGCTCTCTGAGCACGGTGAAAGTGCCGATATAGGAGAGCTCCTTGATAAACGGACTGTCCTCGAGTAAGTCAAATTGGCGATTTTTGCTCTTGTATTTCGAACTGTCCTCGCTTCTACAGGAAACTTGAACAGCCGATCGTTCATCGGTACACGGAGATTGAAGAGTTCCCCAAGGCACTGAACAACAGCCAGATGTGGAACTGGCACACTCGGCTCTTCCTGGCGGACGCACGCCAGAACCTGACCCTCGCGACGCAAGGCGGGCCGCCGTCCAAATATGCAGCAGAGGAACTCGAGGCGTTAGAGCGGACGCTCAAAGATCATGAGGCGTGGTTAGACGAGTGGGTCGAGAAGCAGAGGAAGGTCCGTATGAATGAAGATCCGGTGATTCTCTCCAGCGAGATGCGCGCGCGTGCCAAGACGCTAGAGAATCATCTCCAGCGGCTCTACAGAAAGAAGGCGCCGAAGCTCACGACCAAGAAGTCAGCGAGCGCAGAGGACACGGGGTTCGCGCGAGAAGAGTCGACGACGACGAGCAGACCATCGAGTGACGCACCACCAACGTCGTCAACAAGAGGCGGCTCGCACGACCATGACGAGCTATAGTAGAGGTGTGCGTATATTATCATATCATGACGCAATGGATACCTATAACCTATTCCACCTATCCTCTGGATCCCGCTAATCACTCGCATCGTACAACATAGCCTCTCCCATTTCCCGGCCTATGGATTGTATCCTGAATCGAAAGTAGTATCGCTAGTGCTTGCTGTGAATCGCACACCGCCAGACCTCACAGCTGTCAAAGCTGTGTGTACGACGGAGCGATAGCTGTTCAACAGAACGTGAGACCCGACCGCGCCGAGAGCACATGCTCGAGGCACCGCTCACTGAACGCCCGAGTACAGTAAAGCGTAAACATTGTCCTCTGCTCATGTAGTGGCGTTGGTAGTCGGCTGTTATCAGAATTGAGCCGTGCCTTTCGCCGGTGCTGTGATTGCCTGAAAGTGATTCGTTCGTATACTGCGCCTCCTGAATTTTGTTGTAAGCTTGTTAGGGTACTCTCTACAGAGGCATCTACTTTCATAGGGTCGGAGTTTCAATATGTAACAAATTATTAACAACGATAACACTGCATCCTGAAACCTCGCTCTAGACTGGGCGATAAGTCAGTTCACCGGCGGCTAATCGACGAAAGCGTTCCTCATCGTCGACTGCGACGACGGCAATGGCAACACCTACGACTGGTCGGCAGAACTCGCGGTTCTCTTCGCTCAATGTTTTCAAGCTTGCTTCCAGCTCAAAGCCGCCTCCACTTCCCCCCAAGGACATACACTATTTGCCCAACCCATCCCTCCCTTCGTTGAACCACTCCTTATCCCCAGACTCGCTTACGTCGCAACCCGTTACCCCGCTGTCTGCGCACTATGGAGGTCTCACTAGGAGCCCCTCACCAACCCCATCGTATGCCACTAGCCGGTTGGCTATGTCGCCTGCCTCCTCGTCGACTGCGCTTTCACCTGAATCGGCAGTATTCAGGAAGGGATTCCAGAAGCTGTCAAGCCTGGGCAGACGGCCCAAGACACCCAAGACCCCTGCGCAAGAACCGATAGACCTTCAACCTCCAGACCCTGTCCCTGACCCATCGATATCAAATCCTTGGAATTTCCAGGTGTGTCTCAGTGAAAGTCATTGTTGTCGTGCGACTAACAATGATGTTTCTTTCAGCACAATCTCCACGTTGACGAGAAGTACACATGTCATTTTCTTCCGCGTATTGGTTTGTTGACTTGTTTATTAGCTGCAATGGGTTGCCACCAACATGGGCCGCTCGTCTGAGCGAATTGGGGCTAAGTGAGGATGCCATAGCGACCATTCATGCCCGTAGAATTGCAGCTCGATCGGTCAACGTTCGGACTATCTACTCAATTATGAGTGGAGGTGATCGCAATACGGTTGTCGGGAGTGACGTGCCACCATTCCTCCGCCCAGAGCTGTCCCAGGCATCCACCTCGCAGACGTCATTGTCTTCGGGAACGCGTATACACGACAGAGACTTGTCGTTCGCGACCTCGTCGTGCGAGAATGTATCATTTGGCTCAGCAAACCACCTCGATGACCGTACCGCAACACGCTCCGTACGTCCGGGTCCGCCGCCCTCACGACCAATACCTGTACCTTCAGATTCCTCGTCGAGTACTGCTTCAGCTTCCAAACAAGACCTTCCACCAAAAACGCCACCACGGAGAGCTTATCATATAGCAAACGGCTCGGTCAATTCCATGGGATCGCCTCCGCCAGCTTATAGCTCCGCTAAGAAAGACGTGTCTCTGACATGCGTGGACGAAAGTCTTGTGCTGCCTACCGTCTCCGAAAAGAAACCTTTGGATGCTGGCGATCAAGAGAGTCCACCTACAGCTGGCGCTCCAGCACCACTTTTAGCTTCACCACCCCGGCTTTCTCTGCAGAAGGACAGCCTGGGAGATCTTTCCAGCTGGTCTGAATCACTATTTTCCATCATGCCTTCGCCGTCGACGAGCGCCACATCATTAACTAAACTTGCACCCTCACTTATTGCATCGACTTCTACTAATATCACTAATCGTTCGCCCGCGTCTGTTCGTCTACGTGCAAAGTCACACACACGCTCACCGTCAACTCAACGTGCTTTGCCTCCGCAAAAGCCAGTACCCCTGCATGATCTTCCTGCAAGGGCCGCGCTCGCACCCGCATCAGCGAACAACACGCCACCATCATCAGCCAAAGCGATAAATCCCTTATGGCATGAAGTCATGGAGATGGTGCGTCCCTCTGATTCATCCGAGCCGATTCCAACTAGGCGCCCTCTCTCCAAGCCGAAGTCGACCCCTACACTTACTGCGACCTCGTCGAGTTCTTCATCGTATATGCTACCAACTCCCGATTCAGATTTGCCTGAATCAGACCCTGCGCATCTTCCTCCAGTATACGTGGCAGATGAGAAGACAAGTGGCTTTGGGGACGCCGACGACGAGGATGGCACGCTGCAAGTTCGCTCGCGGGAGAAAGAAAATCGCGATTCAGATTTGTCTACCATGACAATTGTTCCAGCCACCATTATCCGCGGAGCGGTTGCGCGCAGCGCGAGGGGAAATATCGTAGCGTCCCCTGTGAAAGGGAACGAAGACCTCGAGGACCATAGGCAATCGGCACTTCTTATTTCTACCGCGCTTCCTCAGAAGGATGTAGCGGACGACGCAAGTGGGCACTCGCAGTCACCCCGTAGTTCAGAGTCGCGATCTAGCAGTTCAGGTATTTCCACTGGAACATTTGCGTCTAGCTCGGCCTCTGGGTCGGCATATACTAGGTCTTCTCCCATGCCTTCACCGCTATCTGGGACATTCACCACCGCGCAGCGAGATCACGAATCACGGACAACAAAGGGAAAGAGCGAGCTTCCAGAGCTACAACTTGATCTCGACATGGACCTGAGTTTCGACACTGTTGTACGGCCGTCGATCCTCATCGACGACATTATCGCTGCCGGAGTGTTGACTGACTCTTCGTATTCTTCTTCTCCTGCGCAGCCGTCTCCAGCGACTCCGGTTCCGCGTTACCTGGGATGGGTGTCAGAAGTAGTCGCACCTTTAGCCCGATTTATCAACGACGCGGCAGACCCCCGCACTTTGTTTGGGGAGTTCCGCGAGGTTGGGGAGGGAGAAAGTGGAAGTGTCTACGCTGCACGTGTATTGACTTCGTCTGAGAACGAAGAAGCTGACGATGTTAACCCGACTTTCGTCGCGATCAAGAACGTTCCGTTACTCCCGAGCGGTTCGCCCAAGCTGGATGATCTTCGACGTGAGCTTGTTTTGATGCGCAGTGTACGGCACCCAAATGTGTTAAGTATGGAAGATCTCTTCGTGGACGTTGTGGAGGACGCGCTTTGGATCAAGATGGAGCTGATGGAGCGCAGTTTGGCGGATGTTGTTGTGCTGGTAGAAGAGGGTATTGCTATTCAGGAAAAGCATATTGCACAGTTCGCCAGTGATGTGAGTTTTGCGGCCATTGCGTTGTCATGCTCGATAAATGTGAGTGGGGGGATGCTGACGCTCCGCTTAGGTTTTGCATGCTTTAAATTATTTACAAACCCTTGGCATAGCCCATCGGGACTTGCGGTCGGACAACCTTCTAGTTACCAGCGAAGGGATTGTGAAGATAGGTGGGTGATTGTTGCACTTCTCAAGTACGATGGCTCGTCTCATATGAGCGGATTTGTGCAGCTGATTTCTCAAGGGCTGTGCGCGTCTCCAGGGCGGCACCGCTTTGTAGCGACCCTGCTGGTGTGATTTACTGGCAGGTGAGTACTATCGTGACGGTCTCGATACCGCTGCTCACCTAGATTTGCCTGCAACTCATTTAGCCACCTGAGGTGAGATCGTAAGTATCAACGGTCGTCTCGCAACTCCACGAAATCTCCATTCATTCTTTCTACAGGGGATCATACAATGCCCTAAAGGTCGACGTGTGGTCACTAGGTGCCACAGTTTGGGAATTAGCTCAGGCAGAGCCCCCGTTCTCAGACGTTGCAGATCCGAACCAAATGAACGACCGCTGGCCACAACTCCGCCAGCACGAAATTTACTCACGATCTTTCCATGATTTCTTGCATCTATGTTCTGAGCCCAGCTCTTCGCGTCCGAATCCAGCCGAGCTGTTGAAAGTGCGTTATGTTCCTGATAGTGCGCCTCTACTATTGTAGCATACGCTAACCAACTTATGTATAGACCCCCTTCATCAGTAATGCAAGTGGACGGTCCGCGATTCTCGAACTTCTTTCGGAGTGTCGGTCCGTGGAAGAGCGGTTGTCTCGACGGCAAAGCACTGGGTCGGATGGAACCGTATCTTTATCGTAGCCCTGCATTCCCCCCATACCCCGCCTCATAGCAACGAGATACATCCCTCGGACAATGCTTCATGTGAAGTATACACTATACTACGCACATTCTTTGTCCTATAGGACTTCATGCTCGTGAATAATATTTCGAGTCTGCACCTCAGGATGCGATGGCAACGGACCTTAAGGTTTCGGTGTAGATAATTATTCCTAGGAAGCACATAACTTATGATTGCTCTGATATCTAATCAAGGAGTCGACTACGTTCCCTTTGTACTCGATGAATACTTACTTCATACTCAGCCGCGCCCTGCCGTCCTACACGATGCTTAGGATGGGTCTGTGCCGCCGCAAACGTACCGGTTCAAAACAATATTATTCCAACCTATTTGGTGTTCTCTATCAGGATACACTTGATACACGGGAAAATAATATACGACTGCATAATGAGGAATAATTGATAGGAATAGCGCATGCATAGACGACAGAGCTCACTTAACATCGACACAAAAAGTACGATTGGACCAGCACAATCGTGATAAATATTGATAATCAGATCACCTGAGATGAAAGAGCAGTAGCATTAGGGCCATGAGATTGAATTTGATGGTAGACCCGAAGGTAATCAAGAGGCCGAGCTGATTGCGGCGATCTCGACCTCACTATACCCTACCTCCCCAAGTCGAGCAAGGAATGCGGTAGGCAAACCGCGGGGAAGACCGTCCAGCCTGCAGTAAAAGTCAACCTTCATGTACGGTGGCGAGTGCTTTGACGTTAGCTCAAGCAACTTACCCTGCGTAGGCGTGGATGTGGTGCTATCAAGCTGCACGTTAATCTTAACATCAATACTGGAGCAATATCACAGCACACCTGCATATTCCACGGCGGCGTAATTTCAGGATCCCCACCCAATTCAATCTCGTTTTCTCTCGCAGATTGTTTCAGCAGTGCGGCCCAGGCCGTCGGAAGCCCATTGAAGCTAGTAATGGCGTCATTGACTAAACTCTCGCACCTCGTAAGAAGCAAGGACAACTCACTTCTCGTCTACGTGGATATTGCGCTAAGGAGGATTGGACATACTGGTCACGGATCTGAAAATTATGATATTCACCTGAACATTCCATGGAGTAGATATGCATGTATCCTCCGTGGACCCCGGTAGTTGTATGCTCACGGGCCGGGGTCTACCCTTGGGCGGCCCTCCAAGCGACAAGCATGAATTTATGGTAGTCTCGAGGCCTGTAGGCTCATCCTTCGTACATTCGGGTTTTGCGAGGACCGCAGACCAGGCAGGGGGCAGGCCATTCAAACTAGGCAAAATTAGTAAATCGAAATTACACAGACATATGCGCACCTCTCGTCAACATGGACGTTGTGCTGAACGATTAATCAAGTCAGATGCTTGATTGTGGGCCTACAAGTTGGTTGGGAGGTACATGCCTGAAAGTTCCATGGATACGAAATCTCAGCTAGCGGTTTGAGACTTGATTGCTTTCCGCGAAGACCGATGCTAGAGAGTCTTCGTAGAGCGCGCCGAGGTGCGGCATCATCTTCTGAAGTTGTATGCGAAGGTGAGGGCGAAGCCAAGGTCCTATCGATGCAAGACATGGTCGAGTGCCTCCGGGGTCTGTGGCTGGGTCGAAAGGGCATTGCAGGCTGTATAGCTGGAGGCGGTGGTCGTTGTGCAAAGCGCACAGTCCTTGCTTGTTCATCAGAGCATTTCAGGGCAATCACCGCCAGAACACAAAGGAGCCGCCACAATTGCCCAGTCGGGTCCCATCACGGTCACTGCGTGAGAGCCCAGGGCGGAAGCAAATCAATGGTCGCGACGCGTAGCCACGAGCACGTGATCTGTTGCGACGCGTCCACGCAACGCGTCGATAGCGCGCCGCCGATGCTTACATAATGCTCACGGCCCCTTGAGCGGTCGAATGTCTTCAGTCTGGTCTGTGGCTCGCAGGCTCAGCGCTCACTCGGGGTCGGGTTCGCATCCCTTACCTCTCTTACTCAAATCTGGCTGCCACACATGTCGTTCTTATGGCCAGAACAAGACTCCATTGACGCGAGCGCAAGGCAAGGCTGTTTGTATTTTCTAGACGACCTGATGTCTCATCGATGATGAATTTAGCACCTCTAGCCCTGGGGTGCTAACTCGCGGCCAACATCGCAAACGCGCACTGTCAGGTACAGACGAAGAAGATGAATTCTTTGAGAGAAAGAGACCTAGAGTTTCGGCCAGGCTCTCTGCAATCTTCGGTACGGGCTCGCGTCCTCCGCCGCCCAACCTCAACGTGAGTGATGCTACCATGTCTAAATCCGAGAAATAATATTTATGTTTTGCAGTACGATCGCATGCCCAGTATATCTCGCGACGAAGGGAATTTCTTCGCCGAACCATCAATTATTTCTCATCGACCACGACTACTAAGCTCGAGCACATCGTTCTACTCAGAGCGCTCGCTGTCACGGCAAGCGTCTGTTTCGAGCGTGGCTACTTTGGAGGGTCTTGCTCTCGTCCGCAGTGCCTCCGTGAGTTCCCTGTCGGAGCTCCGAGGAACTCCGTCAAATCCAACTCCAGCGGAATCCGCGGTTCTTCATCTACGAAGGGACAAATTAATGATCGACTTTGCCGTCGCCGAAGCTGACCTCAAGGCTGGCATCTGGCCCGTCAGCTGGTCGGAGAAAAATATCATGGTCTTCGGCCGCGGTAACCGTGTCCATTACAAGAACCTTGCGGCGAGCGAGGATATGGGACAGCTTTGTAAAATTCGTGAAGATCAAGGAAACCTACGCGTAGTTCAGTGCGGGGGGGAGGATCAACCGACGACTGTAGCGCTTTCCACTAGTAAAGGAGTCATTCAGATTTGGGATCTGGCGACGAAGAAGATGGTGTCTCACTGGACCACAAAAACGGTGACCGCCATGCAATGGAACGGCCCGGTCCTCACCGCCGGTGGCGAACGTGGCACTATTCGCCATTTCGACACTCGCATCAAGGAAACTCCAAAAATGAAGGAGCAGGCACGCAAAGTAACGCGTCATCAGGCCAAGATTTGTAGTCTAGCTTGGAATACCGAAGGGAAATTTTTCGCGAGTGGGGACGAAAGTGGGTTCGTTCACGTCTGGGATTCGAGGCAAACAGCACCTTTAGATGTCGGCGAGCTTGTTCAGCGACGTAAGAAAATCCAACACGATGGATCGATCACCGTATGTTATATCATCAACTGCCTGGAGCTTGACTGACCGATGAAATTCTCTTTGTACTTCATTTTCAACAGGCTCTGGCGTGGTGTCCATGGCAGTCGAAGATACTTGCCACTGGAGATTCTGCCTCAGATGGATCAGGCACCATTCGTATCTGGAACATTAATGGACCGTCAGCTTCTCATTTGAATTCTAACCATCCAACGAAACTCGAACTAGACGCTGAGATTCGATCGCTGCATTTTTCCCCACATTGCAAAGAAATACTTAGTACGCATGGGCCAGGCAAATCTACACCGGCCCCACCTCCACCATCGCATCTAGAGTCACACATGTTTCCGTCTGAGCCTGTGCCCTCTAAAATCGCCAACTCGGTCGTTGTACATGCATTTCCCTCCCTACGGCAGCTTGTGACGCTGCAGGCGGCGAATCAGAAAATTACTGGAAGCGTCCTCAGTCCCAACGGTCAGCGAGTGGTGATCGCGGTCCCCGAAGAGGCCAAACTGAAGGTCTGGGATGTGTGGGGAAAGCGGAAAGAGTTGAAGCGCTCTTCTAGTGTTCTGGATGGTTCCGGGATTAGGTGACCGCCCGCCCTCGCAATGTGGGATGTACGGGATTGAACGATGATAAGGTAGGTATATGGATCAGCTTCCTCGTAAGTGTTCTCGGAAGGGCTGTTGTATTCGCTTGCATTGTCGTGTACTCCAGGTGTGATATTAGGACCGTGTCGTGTAGCTCTTTGGCCTGGATCCATGACCGCTACATGTAGATCATATATTAATGATTTTACACCATCCATTTCATCCATTCATACTACTTAGCAGTCAAATTGTATCTTTTTATCCAGATGTCGGTGCGCTGCGTCATACTGACAAATGTTCAACGCCGCGGCGAATCGCCCCGGAATTTGGCAACAAGTTATGGCATAGTAGTGAAGGCGTGATCAATGACAAGTCTGATGTGACACGCGCTATCGGAGCTGTTGTGCTGCTCCGACTGTTCAGTGCTTCAGTACTCCGGGACGAATTCCGACGAAGCTTGCTCATAAGTACAGCCTACAGCGTTCAACAGCAAGCCGGACCGAGTGAGACTTTCAAGTGAGCTCTGTAAATTTAGCTGATGCTGATTAATTATCGAACCTGATTGTGTAGGGCAGCAGTAACGATGGTCGCAAGGCTTCAAGATGAACTACTTACTAGGACGATTCTCAGTGGGCACTGGGAAATAATCTCAGAGGTGCATCTATGCGACCCGGCACAATGGAGAGCTTTCATTGAATCCGGCGAATCCTGCGAGATTAAATTTGCAGCCGGCTCCAATAAGCGGCGTTGTCCGCTGGTCGCTTGCCCTCGGGCCTCCGCCTTATTGTCCTAGCAACCAAACATGTTTCGGACGAGCTGATAGGCCGATACGAGGCCCATTGGAGGTGATGCTGTGGGATGATGCTCGGATTCATCATTCACTGCCATCTCGAGCCCATTCCTGTCTCACCGCAGCGCATTGTCAGCGTCGTCGACCTGGAGTCTCGATGCACAACTGCTCGACACCCTTCTCTCTCCAAGACGATTAAACTATCCACTCTCTAGGATCCCTCTGCAAGTTGCGGCTCCCGGCGAGCTCTCTGGGCTCTGTGTGTGCCGGCGTATGCGCTTTTGCTGCCTCCTTGCAGAACAATGGTTGCTCTTCTATTGACGTCCTCTTTGAGCGCGCCAGTGCGAAATGACGCCCGAGCCGTTTCAACGCCGACAGGCACTCAAACTTCGGCGAGCAGTCCCGCCATCACGGCTCAATCCCCTGTGGTGTCTCCCGCTACGGTCCAAGCCAGTAGTAGCACTCCGACCTCCTCTACCACCGGCACTTCTTCTACCAGTACCTCTGCTTCATCGACAGGTTCTTCATCCAGTACTACTTCCTCTATGGCTTCTACATCTCCCACAACGTCAGTATACTTTGGCTTATCCTCTATCTCAGTTGTCTTACATGTGCGTACATCAGCAACAGCGTAATCGCTCCAGATACCACTTCGCCGCCACCTAATGCTGACCTCACTGTCGTTTCCGTGTAAGCTACTTAGTGATCCTTGTAAGCGAAATGCGTTCATGATGAATTTACAGGCCAAGTACTATTACAACCTCGTCCTCGCCGAGCACACCTAGCTCTTCGTCGTCGCCGTCGCCGTCGTCCACCTCCCTCTCCATGTCTCCTTCGGGCAATACCTCTTCCTCCGCTTCCCCACTGGTGGTCCCGTCTTCTACTACAACTCCGACGCCTTCTGTTCCAATTTCTACAACATCTATTACTTCGACAGCGTCTAGCACTTCGACGACATCTAGTGCTGCTGTCTCGGTACCTGGTGCAACACAGCAGACAACGCAGCCTTCAACACCCACTGGGTCACCCTCATCTGCAGGGGCCTCAGGCCCTTCATCAAGGTAAGCCTTGACATGAGTTGTGCATTGATCCACGAAGATGACGATGCTCCGAAAGTGCTGATGTTGGGGACATCGTCCCGAATGGGGTTGTAACAGCAGAAATCACATCGATGGGCCCGGTACCATCTCAGTCCGCTATAATCTTCACTATCGCGCCCCTCCCCCAAACCTCGTCGACTTCTGGAACTTCACCTCAACCTATGTATACCCCTACGGAGAATTCGAGCATGTCCGCTAGGTGTGTTTGAAAAGTATACTCTTGTCTTAATTGGTACCATAACTAATTCATGGGCTCACCCATAGCTCAAAGCCAAAAAGCGCGACCATCGCTGGTGCCGTTGTAGGCAGCATATTTGGTTCAATCGTCCTCGTTGCGGCGCTGCTCTTTTTCATTCGTCGCCGCGCACAGCGGAACCGCCAGCAAAAGGCTCAGATGCGCGCGCAGCACATGAGTGTACAGGGATCTGTCCTCGGATACAGTGCGGACCCGTTCGACAGCGCAGGCGTCGAGTCCGTGCGCACGGTTGCCGACGCGTTCCGCGGGATGTCGCATTATTCAACCCCGAGCTCATCCAGTTATATCGCGCCGGGAGGCTCAAGCGTCGACAGCATCACCATGGTCGGCGCTGGTGGTTCCAGCACACCGCGCTCGTGGCTGGGTTTCGGCCGGTCGCCTCTCAGCCAGAGCACCACTAGCCCGGACGAGTTGCGTGGCCAGCAACAGATGGCTGCCCGGGCCTCGCCCAGACCTTCAGTTTCATTTTCCGCAGACACGTCTCCCCCTGGCCAACGCCCGACATGGTTCCCCTTCCGCAGCTCGCTGTCCATGCGTGGTGCGCAGCGCGACTCTGCTGCATCTGTTTCATCGCTAAGCCAGTACACGCCTTCGCCGAGCCAGCACGCCCCATCCCCGCTGCGACGCTCGTTCGGCGATCCGTTCTCGGACAGCGCGTCCGCCTCACGCGATCGCCCGGACGAGTTCACCGCTGTGTAAACCCCTCTCCGCCCCTCTGAGTCTCCAGTTGTCCGCTTCGACATAGTCGCCGGGGAGCGATACCCTTTTTTCTTCGTTCGCGGCGGCCTCCGCGAGGCGCCGTCCTGCATGTGCAGGAGTAAATTATTTCATGTATCACGCGCTGGTCTTGCCGCTCGCTCTGTATGGTACTTCATGGACGTGTTTGTTTGACCGTCCCTTTTGTGACTGTTCCATGTGTCAATCGTTTATTACTCATAGACCACGCGCGCCGTGAGCGTTTGCTACCATGGTGTATCTTTAGGCTGGCGTCATACTCCTAGGGAGTGCCAAGTACATATGTCAATAAAGAGGCTGGTAACCATCATGGGTACTCGTGTCACAGTGTCCACTGTGAGTGAATTTCAAAACTTGCCGATTCTCGTTGCTCGGGCTTCGCGACGGTCCTCATGGCTACTAGACGCCCCTGAAATGCGCATGATGATGCAAGAATAGGCAGGATCTGTGAAGAACAATCATGTTGCATAACGATGACTGACGGACGCTTTCGCGCACGCAAATGAGTCCACGAGCGTGAGATCCAGCTATAGATTTTTGAAGGACGCGAACGTGCCATGCCTTCAGTTTCATGGAAGTCTGTGCAGCTAGTAAAAACAGGTTGAGAACAGTGTAACCAGAGGGTGGTGGTGATTCCAAAAGTACAATGCTGGATATCTAATGAACGATCTCAGTGTCTCACTTCTTCAGGACTGAAGAATCGCTCATTGATGATGCCTTCGACGACCGAGGCCCTGAGGGATGCACTGATGTGGGTTTCTGAGACATCTCCTGCGTCTCCTCCCACAGCTTATAGGCCACTTGAAGAACTATAACCCATTTATGCATCCCCGATGCATACAACCGCGAGCACGCCTCCTCGTAGTCCAGGAGATGTGACTCGTAGTGTTGTTCGTCCGGCATACCCGTATTCGCCTCGCACACCTACCGCAAATGGACCTCAGAAACGCCATGTGCTCGCCGCAGAAGCCGATACGTACCGCATCGGCAGGGATCTGCCCTATGTACCAGAATGTTAGGTATTCGCCACCGCCATCCTCCCGAGGGGACCGCTGCGCCTGGCGGCGAGACGGGCCAAACGCCATGGTTGAAACATAGAACGGCTCCGTGCACGGATCGTCAAGCTTTGACTGGGATCCCGGGGGAAGAGGGGCGTTGTGCGCCAGGACAACCGGGAGGAAGTCTGCACGGAACCCCGACTGGACTGGTTCTGCATCAGACGGGTCGCATGCGTGTGAGGGAGACAAACCTCCTCGTACGCCTCGCGCAGTGCGGTCTGCTCCAAGCTCTCCCCGACGTCCTTCCGCCCCTTTGGGAGGAACCAGTACTGTTTCTGGCGTTCGTACAGGAGGACCAACTTCCCACTTGACGGCTGGATAATCACCATGCCCGCTCCGAGCATGAAATCGGACCCAAACCACATGCTGTCGGGGATGGCGGGGGAGGATAGATGGGAGAAAATGCGTGGCTCTTTGGTGGATGGGGGGCGGGCGGATTTGCAAGCCGTGTTCGATTGACGGGAGTGCCCATGTCGAGATGGCTGGCTGCCGCTCGAAGGATGGGAGCTTTGGGGTTGGCTCTGAGACTGAGAAGAGAGGTTGCTGGGCCCTTGAGTGGCCATGCCGTAGCCAAGGTAAGAGCGAATGCTGTTCATAAATCCCTCTAGAGTATGTGGCGAGTACAAGGTTGAAGACGGGCTTGCCAGGGTATAGGAGATTCGAACGACAATAGAGGTAATGCAAAAATGAGAGGGAGATACTAATGCAACCCAGATATGTAAGCCCTCTGAGTATGACAATGCTGGAGGTTGTAAACTGTTGCTGGTAGTTCGACGAGAAAAGTAACCCTACTACTAGTCTGCCAACAATGACGTATGGTTACCACATATGGCAACGCGGAGTAAGCGTTAGCTTTCTTCTTCCTGAAATCCAAATATCAAGAGTTAACTCAACCTCATCGGGGCGGAGAGACTAGACTAATAGAGTCATTCAAAATTCATCACGGAGTAGATCATGTTTTGCTCTAGATCTGCCTTCACTTCCCCCCTTTTCCTCATTGAATATCAGCCTCAATGTTGAAGTAATCTCTGATCACAAAGCCCACTTACTTGATCGCCCATTATCATTGGCAGCATGTCCTTGACTGGGCTCTAATTAGCAAGCCTCTGACGAACATGTGTATAAATCAGGTTTAGAACATTCAGGAAATGCTCATCGGAAACTCGCAACTCACTGACTTGGATAAATGATCTTGAACAAACATCACGTGTATTGGAAGTGTATGCTCGAAGCATCGAGTAATTCGCTGAGCCTCAGTCAATCATGATCATCATTTATACTAGAATGTGTTCTGGCTGGAACGCGCCCACGTTCACCCACTACTGGTCGGAAAGATACGCACCGCATTAACATACGCAGACACTCCAGGTAGTTCATGAGTGGCGAACAGGCACAGCCTCTTCCGCTCCCCGGCCCTCCTAATCTCAGCGATAATGGCCAGAGTGCATTGAAAGTTGAGCTGGACTCGGAGAAGGGGCTCAAATTCGAAGCATTAGGCCCGATAGTTGTCAACAGCGATGGTGTAAGCATTTTCGCCTTGCTCTTCAACTTTAGGACTTATGAATCCTTACGGTGCATACAGACAATGTCCAGAATCGCTAATTGGGAGCACATGACTGAGCAAGAGAAAGAGCGGACGATGAGGGTGCTCGTTGCTCGGAACAAGTGTGTCGATGTATCGCATGGCTCGGAGTCCGAGGAGTCGCGCTAATCTGGCATGATCTGGCAGGATCCGAATTGCGAACCAAGAGAAAGGTGCACAGGAATTAGGTCCAGAGAACTGAGGCGAAATCCAGTGATTCATTCACTGTACTGACAATTATTATCTGCTCGCCCTACCTGTATTTCTTGGGGACTGAGATCTTTAACGGGAGATTGAAACATCTAAATGAATCGTCAACTGCAGCTGCAGGCAGCGGGTCAATCATGGTGAGCTCAACAGGAACACATTCAGACGCATACGCGACGTGATGGTACAACTCAAGTGCCTTGTGTCTCAATGGCAAGACATCCAACGATTGATAGCCCAATGTGCATAGCCTACGGATGAAGTTGCTGCCCGAGCCCGCGCTTACTGTCGGGTCATTTCTCCCCCACGCAGCACCTCAAGTTGAGGTCCAACGTTGCAACTAAACCACATGGCACCAGCGAAGAGCTCAGATCCCATCAATAAGTATCTCACCGCACTTATTAAGTATGACGGGTGACCTTACAGGCTTGCGAGTGCCACTGGTCGGACCTAATGGCACTGCATACTAGTACGTGCCACCTTCACTGCACTAGCCTCTTCGCTGGTTGACCTGATGGATCAAGTTTCAAACGTCGTCCGCACACACTGCCCCACAAGCTCTACTTCAGAACTAAGGCGAGCCGATGCTCCGGATCATTCAAGAACGAACAGTTTTGTAAGCTGTGCTTTTATGCTACATGTTGACGAGATGCTTACTCTCCTGGAGCAGGGATGTGTACATGCTGGATTGTATCCGCGATCAGCGCCGAATGAATGACACCCTTGATGTCTTCCACCCGCGCACCCGGCGTAGCAGTAATGAGCACGCCGTGCTTCCTAACTAGCCCGTCCTCCATCGTGCGCGTGGGCCCGTGCTCGCCCGTCGGGTACAGCCAGAAGATGAGCCCGCGCTGGATGACGGCCCCGCCATTGGTCAGACCCTTGTTCACGACATAGCGGTCTGCGCTGGCAAAATCTTCTATTGTCGAGATCTCGTCGAGCACTTCCGTTGCTAGGAGCGCGGAAAGCAGGGCAGGGCTCTCTTCGTTCGTGGAGCGTGCGGTGTGGTAAGGATAGGGCGTCGTCAAGCTAGGCATGGCGTCAGGTATTGAAACAGGGAAGGTGAGTCCAGATGCGAATTTGCGAACGGAACAGATGTTGGAGGGCTGAGGATTCCAGTGACTGAGGTGAATGGACTCTCACCTTGTGGTGAGTTGATAGGTCAGTGTGCTCTCTTGATCTGCCCCATCTTTATACTTATGTTGCCAGAGGAGATCGCACCACGCCACGATCTGGGTGCCCAGCCACTAGATCCCACTCGTGTCGCAGCGATGAGGCTTATAGATTATCATCGCCTTGAGCCTATCCAAATAACACTGCATACAGTAGCACTGAAAATTGCTTTACTTTACAATAGGTACAAGCTCTTGTTTGGCAAATATTTCTATCAACAAGCAGTATGCCTAGTGCACTCATATCAGCGTGTCTCGGCCGAGCGCGTTTAAAAACTGCAGGAGCGCCGCTAGGCTGTGTGTGAGGATGAAATTCAAATAAAATCTCAATCATATCTCACAGTCCACACGCAATTCAAAGCTTGCAAGAAAAGGGAGTCAGTTACAAGGAGACGAGGATACAACCATCAAACAACCAGCATGATTCGTGATCGCATATAGGACACGGCGGATGCTGACAATGAACATACACAGACGACGGTAGCTCTTTCAATTGATTCAGTGTTATCTGCAAAAGGTATTAGGATGGACTGAGGTCGGGATGTGTCACAGCGACGCAATCAACTCACCGCCGGCGACTCATGACAAAACAGCCTTCGTACCCTAGAACATCTGACGGGCTGAGGGTATCACGCCACCTTCCCGCCAGATTGCCCTCTGCATTCCCGACGAGATACCCTCTGTACAACCACCTCCCTCGATCACCATTATTCTGAATATGCCCCAAGGTCGATTAATTCGTCAGTAACGGAAACAAGATGAAGACATGCGGCACGTAAAAAAAACAGCACTCACGTAATCTTTCGAGAGGCATATGAACCCGTCCGACAGACGCACCCTGCCTACAAGGTTGAACTGGCCCCAGGCAGAGTGGCCTTCCCCCGTCACTATTACGTCTCGCACTCTGCGCCTCCGCGCTGACTGCGGTCTCTGCTCGTCCTCTGGACGTGACACACACCAGCTCTCGTAGACGAGCGGTTCCTGTCCAAGTTCTCGGACTTCGAGACTGTCAGGACCTTCATGCAGCTCGGTTCCGCTCGGGATATATGCGCACAGAGCGCAACCGGCGCGAGGAATCCGCGTGCCTGTGCTTGCCTTGGGGCTTGCGCTCACCGGGGCTTCTGCGTCAGCGACTGGGTCTAGTACACTCATTCCGCTGCTATCATCATAGTCGTCTACATAGAGATGATGTTCGCGGATCTTCCAGAGTTGTGGATGTTGCGCAACGAGACTTCGTTCGAGTACAGAAGGCGAGGCGCCGGAGAGAAGAGCAGCATATGACGTGAATTCGGTGTACTAGACGCAGCAAAGAAGATTCCCGAGAACCAGAAGGAATCGGCCGCAATCATCGGTAAGCAAGAGAATGGCCAGATTCGAAGAGCAGCCCGATTGACGTACCGTAAACAAGCCTTCCCAAGATCCCTGCAAACTCCCCGGTGTGTATGCCTGTCCGTCCGCTTGCTGATCGCCCCAAGTCTCGGATACAGTAGCATGCACCGCGCGTTCCCATTCTGCATCCCACTCTTCCCCCGTACGCGACCCTGCGTTGGCGCTGGGGAGGCTAGGGCTTGGTGGCTTCATATAACTCATGGCGTCCCATGAGATAGAGAGCTTGTGCACAAGTGAGAGGTATGCCAAGATTGCAGGTACAGCGATCGCGGGCGGGCGCATGCGCAATGGGTGGGAATAATGTGTCACCGGGGATGCGTCCTCGAGCCGATAAGTGGGCTCAAACTCACGCCAAGATGGAGCGCCGAGGGCATACTGCAGACGTGAGCGGGGCACAGTGAAGGGGGAGAGACAGGGAGGCGCATACCTGATGCGCTCCCAAGGCTACAAGTTTGAGAACTCCGACAGCTTCATGGAATGCCTGAGTGTCCATCATGAACTCCTCTGCGGATGTCGAACGGGTTCAGACTTCAGGTCGCCTCGGGCGTTGTTCGGAAGGACTCACCTGGGCGAAGAAGAAACCAGAACAGCCATAATGCGAGAGACGTGCGCTCATCCCATGGAGCAGGCCACTTCTCAGCACTGGCTGAGGAGCGAATGAGAGACGCGCCAGTAGGATGGAGGAGGTACTCCTTGAGCCAGTCATCGATGTGGGCATACTCGCGAAGTTGGCGCTCGTTCTTCCCATCGTCCTCGAGCATCATGAGATACGCAGTCCAGAGGATCTCGCTGAGGATGCGCCGGTGGCCGAAGCTGAGATCGGCGGCGGGCGCACGAGCATCGGTGCGTGCGCGGATGCGCTTGAGGACCTGGCAACGCTTGCGGAGTTCATGTGCGAGTGCAACAGGAGTCGTGTTGTGGTATCCCAGACGACGAATGGCGGAGTCTAGGTCAAACTTTGCGGCGAAGATACGGGCCCAAAGGTGTGGGTTAGAGTCGAAAGATAATGCGGCATGAAGGCGGGAAGCTGTCGCGAGAAGAGGGGCAAGGCCAGAGGGTGGCCCGAGGAAAGAATCAGTAGCCGTGAAGAATGCGATATGTTCGAGGACTTCCTGGGGGACGGAGGCAAGCGAGTAGACAGTAGACATGATAGTGGAGCAGAAGAGAGTCGGGAGCGCTGGGAAACGGGTCTTGTGCACGTGTTGTATCTCAGAATCGGGCTGAGTCATGCATCGTGGCCGACGGGTGCAGCGTTGATCAGGACCGTCGGGCGTCGTACGCGCCGTTGAGCACGATGGGGGAAGACGAGGAGCAGAGGCCGGCGAGTCTGCGAGCGTCTGCTGAGCCCCGCTCTCGATCGTCTTAGCGCTGATGTCCGATCGCCTCCAACACCCAGGTGCCGTGCAAATACATCGACCACGGTTTGCAAGGACGTCTACGGTAGACAGACAGCTATGAATACACTGGCTTAAAGTCCTCCAAGAATATCACGGCCCTACAATACAAAACAACGACAGAGATCCAATATGAGTCAGCAATATCTCGGGTAACCTGCACACCCAGCTCACGCCTAGCGTATCCCGCACTTGTCAAAAACACTCTCCCGCCGCTCTATCCGGCGCGGCGCTCCCCAGACCTTCCACATCTTCATCGCCTCCTCTGCAGGGCATATCGTAAACACCATCGTTCCGTCTGGACTCAGGCAGCTGTGCGACACCGAGCCAGCGTGCGCAGGGACACACACAACGCGTGTGAGTGTTGGATAAGAGTGCACCGCAAGTGAGTTCGTGTACTCTGACTTGATAGGCACTGCGCCTGCCCGCAGGACACTACTCCGCGTCCGGCGTCCAATCGGCCCACTACTGAGATTTGGAGTAGACGTGGAACGGGCCTGCCATGAGGTCCCATGTGTGCTGAGAAGCTCCTTGCAGTGTGGCGACCAGATCAACGAAGTGACAGACGTGTTGAGCGCGAGTGAGTGTCGTGGAGACGTTGACTCGGCTTCATTCACGCTCCAGATACGGATCCTGCCATCCGGATAGCTCGATCCTGTCGCGAGCAAGTCAGGCTTCCACGGACACCACGCTAAGGCCTAATGCAAATATTGTGAACTCGGCCCATCGCGGAAATATAGAAAACTAACTTTGACAGGCGCCCCATTATGTTTTTTCTTGCACCCGCTCCTGCCCATGCTGGATAACGACTTCCCCGCTCGCGCGTCCCACACCTGCACGACCCCATGCTGATCGCTGGTCGCCAAGTAGTCCCCGTCGGTACTCCACCGCACGCCATGCACTTTGCACTTGTGAGTGGCCAGCACACCAATCGCTTTTGCTTCACGCTTATCAAACATCTCTACTGTCCCATCTCCCTCGCCTACGGCAAACACGTCTCCTCGCCAATCCATACCACCGACTGCATCCCAGTCACGACACTGCCACTCGCGGGTAAGCGCCTTCGCATTCGCGTCCCAGAGCTGCACAAGACCCGTGCTCGAGCCACCTGCAAGAATATGGGGCGCATCCACAGCCCATTGGATGCTCGCAAGACGCCCATGTCCACGCTTTGGGAGTGCACCGAGATGTGTGATGGCGCGTGTGTCAAGGTCTTCGTAATAGTAATCTCGCCCGCACGCGACCGCGATCGCGTTTCGCCGTGACCACGCGAGTGGAAACGCAAAGACGCTCTCGGGCATCCCTGGACCGTCGAGGGCGAGCACGAATTGCTTTCGCGTGCCCAGATTCGCAGCTGCAGACGTTGGAGAAATGGTGCGTGGCGCAGAGAAGAGTTTCTGGATTTGGAACCGGTGCTCGCCGAGCGGATTGCCGCTACTGGGACCACCACCGCTGCGGTCGGCAAAGTTGAGGACACGGTCGGTAATGAGCCCAAATTGCCGCGCGATGCGGTTTGTGCGGGGAGTGATGTTGAGCGGCATAGATACTTCTTGTGGCGCCGAGATGAAACGATCAGCCTGCCAATTGGGAATATAGTGGTGGTCAAGCGTTATAAATCCTGCGAGCACTTACTACGGTCGCCTGGCTGGTACCCGGAAGATCATCTACCGATGCAATTTCCCTGCCAAAGTCTATCGAGACCATGGACGTCCTACGTCGCTTTGCGGAATACGCGTTCGTAACAGAGCCGGGAGCCCATGTTCGTTTTCGACGAGGTGTAACGCACGACTCTATGGGGAGATTTTGGTCGGACGCGTCCATTGTAGGTGGCGTCTGAGAATCACGCATCGGGTGTCAGAGGGGCAGCTGCGCAAAGGCTGACTCACCTGTTGAGTACGCTGTACGCTGCGATGAGTGAAAGGCAACTTTTTCCTCTTACCTTATAAGCAACCTACCCCTTCAAGGCCTGTGCGTGGTTCAGGTGGCAGCCGTTGACGTGCTACGGCAAGGGGCAAGAATATGTCGACAAAGTACTTGGTCTATCAGCGTAGGATCACTTATTCCCGCTGCAGGCAGTCCTTGAAGCTAGGATTTAAAGGCAAAATGAGACAGCCGCAGATGCCACAGCCGTAGTGTAATACTATGTATCCTGAAAGGAGCAAATCGGAGTATCAATTCAGCTTGACTAACCAGCTCAGACGACGCAAGGAGAGACAGTGATAGCAGGCAATCCAGCTCGATGTCGTAGACAATAATCCAAGCCGTTGTCGATGGCAGCAGTGAGAGAGACAAATCTAGGAAGAGGCTTGCCATTGCCAAATAGCGGAGGTGGGTTATGCGTACGTAAGCAACCCTTGGCATCGTAGCTTGTCGGCAGTCGCCGACTAGTCCCCACCTTGAACCGACTTGCCCACTCACCATACTGCGCAGTCAGGTTCTGCGCCAGTCGTCTGCTTGCATACACCCAAAGGCTTGGGGAAAGCTGCTAGATACTCTTCATTCACCGCCAACTTACAGGTCGTACGACTTGGAGCATTCAAACTCCTTGCAGCCCTTAAGATCTCGAGCGCACTAATCCAATGGCACCCACTGGAGGTACGAGATGAGGCATCATTCAAACTTGCGCAAGTTCTTCGACTTAACAACTTTGTCAAGCTCAGAACCACGCCAGGCGCCCAAGCCGCAGCCGATGGGAAACTTTCCCCTAATATTCCTCTTCACGACCTGCGCTTTATGCGCCGTGTTCCTCCTGTGGAGACGTGCATCCGCGCTGCGCACTGTCGTGGCCCATCAGTACGTAGTGTAGTTTACTTTATTTTTCTCTCACGGAGCGATCCCAAAACAGGCTGAATACATGGACCCGGAAAGAGGGAGCGGTCCGCCTGTCGGAAGACGACGGGCCTCCTGCGCATGAGTTTTTGGATGACGACTACGACGATGATCGCGAGCGTATTCCGGATGATGAACCATTAGCCGCTGCAATAGAGCGAACGAGATCCAACGATGCTGGCCAGGAGGTTTTTGGAACAGCCAGCGCGGACGCCGTCGACCCAAGTAGAAATGCCCCTCCCACACCTCCTCCCAAACCGTAGTGCTCACTAGAAACATGGTGTGCCATTATCTCTTGACCGAGTTGTTGAACCTGGCTGATTGCATCAATGGACATTACCGATTATTATCTGACAATTATACCGAAAACTTCATGGATCGTGTGTGTATTGATTGAACCTATGATATTCAGTCGCGATACTCTCACTTGAACGAAAATTCTTCTATTCCAACCCTTTCACATTGGATAAACACTGGCAGTACCGGTCCGGGGCGTGTAAGGCCCGCTTCATCCGCCGGTATGGGTAGATCAATCCAAAAAGCCTCAGTGTGTAAAGCTACCACTCACTAGCGTGTTAAACGTTTTCCAGTATTCCGGGAGCCGCCTGAATGGATATAAATTTCAACCGAGATGCCCCGCATAATGTCTCCGCTTACCCGGGTGTCTCTTTGATGCTTGTCACATCTTGGGAACCTGTGCACTCAGCTATCCAGAAAGCAAAATGAGTCTCAACAAGCATCAAGCGATTTGGATAGAACAAGTAAGACTCGCTTGTTTGTGAGGTTGCCTGCAGCAGGCCCACCTACGCTATACTTTGCGGCAACCAGCAAATCGACCGTGACACGACCGAGTCTGCTGAGGCCCATGTCTACAGAGAGGTTAGTGCGGCGTCGTTCGGATAGTTCTAAATTTCTCCCGATGCTCGTATTGTCAGGTGATGTGACCGGTCCGCTAACGACCCTCGGCATGTTCTGTTTCTCCGCATAAACCCGTACACATCCTGCTTGACTTCGCTCTTCCACCATTAGCTCGACGACCCTGCATTCACAAGATGATTCTGATACCGAGGATGTCCCGCACTAATATCGCTCATTCTCCCGAGGTCACAAGGTCCTCACCTCAATGCCGCCTTCACCATATGCTGAATTGCGTACTGCGAATAGCACGAGCGCGGAATGCGATACATAAAGGCATGCCGAAAATGTTGTGTGCTGCTGTCTGCCCTCCGCAGACTGGGGCAACATGTTCAAGCACTTGGGAAGCCACCTGCTGCTCGGTCTGTTGGCCTTCAGCCGAAGCGTCCAAGCAATCGGCCAGGCTACCTGTGTCTCTTTCACGCCGTTATCTTCTACCTTCTCTATAGTCAGCAATGGCCAGGCTGCACCAATTCTCCTTTCTGCGGATGACTGGGGAGGCGTTCAACGCGCCGCGTCCGATTTTGCTATGGATATCCACAATGTCACTGGCATAATGCCTGGCCTATACAACGTCACTGTTCCGGCCACCAGCGCTAATCTGAGTACTGCTCTCGGCGGTGGTGCTCGCGCGATTATCGTTGGAACGCTTGGACAGTCCTCGCTGATCAACGAGGTAGTGAAGAACACGGACTTGGATGTGTCGTCCATTGAAGGGCAATGGGAGGCGTTCTTGACGAAGGAGGTGTCCAATCCCCTTCCCGGGATCAGTAGTGCGTATGTTATGATCGGCGCCGACAAGAGAGGTACGATTTATGCCTTATACGATCACTCGGAACAATTTGGTAAGTCGCATCATCCCTGATACGGTTCGCGGATATTGACTTTTGGATTTGTAGGTGTCTCGCCGTGGTATTGGTGAGTTTGGCACATCCCAATCGCAGATTTTATGCTTATTGTGTCGCAGGTGGGCTGATGTACCTGTTCAGACTCACTCTGACCTCTATGTTACCTCATCTGGTTGCGCACACGGCTCGCCTACAATCCAATATCGTGGAATATTCTTGAACGATGAGCAGCCTGCGCTTCAAAACTGGGCGATGGTGCGATTCACGAACGGCACCGGTGCAACTCTGACTGATTCGCCCTTCAACCATTTCTTCTATACCAAATTGTACGTTAAGGTATCATCGTCCGTTATCCAACTATTGCCAATTTGAGATCAACCACAGGTTCGAGCTTATCCTACGCATGAAGGGCAACTATCTGTGGCCAGGTATGTGCTCATAATTATCAATAAGAATCTTTGCTAATAATGGATCTTCTCCGATAGCAATGTGGGCTAGGTATGTAAACGAATTGCGCCCCAATTTTGATGTATTAATCGATGTCCTTAGTGCGTTTGGAGTCGACGACCTATTAAACCAGCCATTAGCAAATTGGTACGGTATAGTCATGGGAACTAGTCATGAGGAGCCCATAATGCGTTCCATCCCGGTGGAGTGGGATTTATTCGGTGTTGGTCCATGGGACTACAGCACAAACGCTCAGAATATCTACAACTTCTGGGTTGTTGGTGCCGAGAGAGCCAAGCCGTACGAGAACGTATTTACTGTTGGCATGCGAGGAGACGGTGAGTGGATCCGTATCGTATAAGTTGCGGAAGACGGCGTCTGAACGAGATTGATTTAGGTGATGGTACGTGTCCTCATCTTCCTATTATGGGTCCTGGGTGAATGTTGTGATGGATCATTGTCTATTTCCAGAACCCCTGGCGGGAGGGCAGGATATTTCTTTATTAGAGGAGATCATCTCCAACCAGCGTACCATCTTGAGCGATACATTCCCCGGCCAAAATGTTACTACTATACCCCAGATGTGGTGTCTATGTCAGTGGTATATTGTGCATACTCAATGTCTATGCTTTACTGACTAGATGGTGCAGACAAGGAGGTGCTAGGCTACTATGAAGATGGCATGACTGTACCTGAAGACATCGCGCTGCTATGGACCGACGATAAGTTCGTTCCAATGAGTCACGCACGACTTCCATCGTCTCACTTCTCATGTATAGCTACGGTAATATGGAGCGTCTCCCCACAGTTGCTGAGCGAAACAGGACTGGAGGAGCTGGAGTATATTACCATGTATGTATCTTTCCTGATCGTATGAGGATCGGTAGGTTGACGTTTTTGTGTTCTATAGTATGATTATGTGTGTTATGCAAGCATGTTCGGGGAAATATCCTGCTGAGCTTCTTTCTTCGTTAGGTTGGAGACCCAATGGACTACAAGTGGATTGTCGTAAGTAGCCCCATTAGTACATCTTATATTCTCTCATTTTGGTATGTCTGTTCCTAGAGCAGCCAGCTGACCAAGGTAAACACTTATTGAACCCTCCGGAATTGGCTGGGGCTTAACCGCTCTTGTAGACGTACGAACAAATGTCGCTCGCAACAGCCCGGAATGCTACCCGGATCTGGATTGTCAACGTTGGCGACTTGAAGCCGTATGAAATGGAGACCGAATTCTTCCTCACATACGGCTGGGATACTTCAGTGTGGGACATGAACAACCTCAATACATTCGTCGAGCTATGGGCTCAGCGCGAATTCGCCCTCTCTTCTGAGGATGCGACGACAGTGGCGGGCATCATAGCCAATGTCACTCGCTTCAACGCTAATAGGAAGCCTGAAATGTTAAATGCTACAACATTCAGCCTGTGGAGCTACCGAGAGTAAGTCCGCGTGATTCCATACGCCGAGCGCGACTTAATGTATTCATGTTAGGGCCGAGAATCAGATGGCAATGTGGCAGGCAACGAACGAGTCTGCAACGACTATTCGCGACAAGTTGACTGCGAGCATGCAGCCCGCGTACTTCGAGCTTGTTTATCACCCAGTCCAGGCCAGCTATACGCTTGCGAACATGTGGTACGCAGCCGGGATGAATAATTTGCGCACGTCGCAAGCTTTTATTAGTGCAAATGACTACGCCGCTGAGGTCGAGGCTCTTTTCGAACAGGATTGGGCTCTCGAGGTCGAATACGATAGTCAGCTGGATAGTGAGTCTTTGATTTTTGTTTCCGCGCCAAATTTGACTAATCACGAATTCAGGCAAATGGTGGGACGCAAACATCTAGGTTGACATGTTTCGTGTACTGATCATTTTTAAGGATCCATATGATGAGTCAAACACATGTCATGTACTACTACTGGCAGCAACCACAGGCAAATACGTGAGCGTTCATGCTGCAAATATTTCCGATCCGTTGCCAATTCCATAACTACAGCATGCCATTCGTCTCAAAATACCAGGCACAGAAGCAAGCATTAGCTGGAGCCATGCGAATTGCACCTGAAGGCACCCAAGCAGCCTGGTGCGCTCTCTCACTTTGTAGAAGCATGGCTTCGCTGACTATACGTGTAGGCCGGGCGACAACCAGTACCAATGTGCTCAAGGATACAGCTGCCCTAACCCAACATTGTTCTTGGACCCGTATGTGCCCGCAGGGAATCGATACGTTGATATCGGAGCTGGTGGACCCGCTCCATTCAACTTTACCGTTTCCAGTAATGTGTCGTGGTTGACGCTCTCGTTCACGAATGCGTCGATCTCGTCTAGCGTCCCAGAACAACGATTGTATGCATCTGTTGATTGGAGCCAAGTCATGGAGACCGACTACGGATTGATTACCCTCAACGCAAGTGTCTTCGACCAACCGGCCGAGTCGTTCACCATTGGGTTTGTCGCAAACTACACTGAGGTGCCTGAGAACTATACAGGTGAGGAAGAGTCTTGTGCATCATAAACATCACAGCTGACGGGTCACCCTACAATGAACTCTAGGTTTCGTTGAAGGCGATGGAGGGGTATCAATAGAAGCCGCCCATGCAGCTAGAAATACTTCCGTGGCTGGTATCACCTGGACTAACCTGCCAGGATACGGTCGTACACTCTCTGGTGTGACGCCCTGGCCTCGAGGTGGTGATGAGTTGAACTTCACTGTCGGAGCCGGACCTAGCATGTAAGCACAAATCTACTTTATTTGATTGACTCACATTTAGTATCTGTCTTCAGTGAATATGATTTCTACACCTTCCACACGTTCAATGACAGCGGCAACGTCACGGTCACCACATACGTGTCTCCCAATTTCAACACCCTTGGTCCCGATCAGCCCGTTGGACTCGGTTTCCAGATGGACTCTGACGAGCCACAAGTTAGTTACTTCGTTCCGAATGTGACTCCAGGGACCCTGCCTGCTCAGTGGGACGGTATGGACGGGTGGGCTGCAACGAATATCATTCCGATTACCCTAAGTTTCTATGCTGAGCCGGGTGCCCATACATTCACTGTGAGAGCCCCTGATCTTTCCTCGAAGTGCTGACCTGACCTGTAAGTAGCTTTGGATGGTCGAGCCCACGGTCGTGGTGCAGAAAATAGTGATAGGTATGTACTATCCGTCGCACTCTGGAATTAAGCGGCGGCCGCTAATCAGTCAACTTCCCAGATACTGGAGGAGTACAGCCGAGTTACCTTGGTCCTCCGGAGAGTATTCTTGTCTAAGCGAGCTCACCGCGCTTCTCTGTCAGCGCAATATACCACATTTCACTGTCTCAGCTACCACCAATGCTTTACTGCATGCATAAAATCTAAGGATTTACTCTTAGCTAGGTGTAAGCAGTCAAAATATACGTTTCTCGCAAGCGACGCCAATGCAAAGCACTTGCGCCTCCTGGATGATTTCTCAAAGTATGAGTTAGACGTGGTGATATCAAGAACTTGGACGATCAAGCCTAAATTTGCTTTGAATCGCAATACGTAGGGTACCTGTCATAGGGGACGATATCTATAGAGCAGACCCCTCGTTATCCCAGTATTTGGCCTGTGAAGACGCTGAGGTTCACACTCTATGACAATAATGACAGGAACATACGAAATAACGATGATGGACTTTCGTGCCTGCTTCATCGATCGCCGACACTTCTTCGAGAGTGAGATCGGGTAAAGCCTCTGCTGCTAAATATTCTTGGACGCGCTCAGCCTTAGAGGTTGTGCTGTGAGGTTCTATATATTCAGACAGCGAGAGTCTCTAATTTTAGAACCACGTACGTGATGACAGGGATTTGCTTCGCTTTGAGCCACAATTGTAGGACTTGCCCCTCTGTGACAGTCTGTCCCGCCGTCTTGCTCACCCGCCCGGCAACAGATATGAGCACCGGATCTAGCGTCCCCCCTCTGAAGCGTATTACAGGAGACAATCCACCATAAGATGCGGGGAGAATATTCTTCTCCTTCATGTACTTCATCACTGACTGGTTGGCGTTAAACACGTAAGGGTGATATTCGATCTTCACAAACAGTGGATCAATGCATTGATCAAACACTAGTCAATCAATTACGCACTTGATTGACAGCTGGAATGACATTGGCCTTGTCTAAAATTGCTTCAAAATCCTGGATGCGAAAATTGGATACACCAATGCTTCTCGTCAAGCCCTCTTTCTGCACATCCTCAAACTGTTTCCAAATGGCACTTAGTGGCTGCTCATGCTCAATGGGGAAGTGGATGAGGAAAAGGTCGACAAAACCAAGTCGTAATTTCTCCAAGGATGTCACGAGCATGTCGCGGACGGTTCGTCCCAGAGAAATTTTCTCGAGCTTCGTTGTAATGTAAAACGAAGAGCGGGGCTTTCCCGATGCAGCAATTGCTGCGCCGAGAGACTCCTCGTTCTTGTAAAGCTGAGCGCCGTCCAGGTGAAGAAGATCGTGTTCGATTGCCATTCGGGTTGCATCCTCCGCGTCCTTTCCAAAGAAGGCGGTACCTGTCCCAAACCCCAGCCAAGGGATTTTGTTACCATCGTTCAAGGTGATCGTTAAGGAGGCCATGAAAGTGCGCGAAGCAGTGTCAATGAAGGAACCAACTGTCGAACATGTCCAAAACAGAGGGTCTTTATGTAGTGCGTCTCTGGACATTTTGTGGTTCCAGATGAAAGTCGATTTTGTAGAATGACCAAGGGACTTCGGTCCCTCGGGTATGCCTGTCAGGATAACCATGCGATTGAGTATAAAGACCAACATTGTATCGCCGAGGAAACTGACTAAAGCTTACCCGAGGCCGAAGCATAATGCGTAATCCCCAAAGCTGTCGACTTGGCGAGCTACACCTTCCGAAGTGTTGTCGTTTTCATTATCCGTATGACAAATATTTCGTCTCCAGATTCTGATGAAATACACGGTTTCGCCATGGTCGATATTGTGGTGTTTGTCATACATTAGGGAAACAGATCATTTTGTCAGTCAACTTCAGGAAAATGGGGCGTGTATCGTATTGGCTACGCCACCTCAACTAAGTTCAACGCGCAATCGGTTCAGAGGGTCGTCCTGAATATGATCGTCCTGAAACTATAATTAAGACTTGTCCGCCCAGATCAGACGTTGCCATTTAACAGGCTGCAATATGGTAAGATGTCGTAAATCTGCGAGCGAGTCAGCTTTTGGCAGCAGGAAGTGGTATACTCATCCTTCACGATAATGAGTAGGCAGAGGGGAGGCACATCTTGAAAGATCATGTTGAAGTTTTGAACTTCGTACCACAGACAGCCACAGACGCGTTGACGCGCGATCACAGTCGCGATCACGCAATCTACATTACAGTAGGTTTTGAAGTGACGCCAATTTGGTACCAGCAGTCTCGTACTAGTCTCATAGACATGTCCGGGAGCAAGACAAGCTGGATATAAGCAAAATAATCAATGGTAATATACATACAGAGACAGATAGGTACTAGAAGCTACATCAGATCCGGATGTCCATAATCTACAGTAACTTGACCCCGATCCACGAGGAAATTAATAGACCACATTGCCCTAGCATCCGCCGTAGACGCATGGTGCAGGCTGTACAGTGTCACGTAAATACGCAGACGGATATGCCGTCGTTCTAAAATGATTCTTGATACTCATCCGAGTCGTAGATGTGGTAGATTGGGCATTTCAAACCGCATGCGCTTCATCCTCAGCATCCTCAGCAGGCTGAGTATCGCTAGGGTCCATGTAAGTCAGTTCGGAGGTAGGGCGTGGCGCGGCATGCGTGGGTTCACCACGAGCTTCGGGTTCCGACTGAGGACCGCTCACTTTGCGGTAGAGTAGTGGAACGGGGGCTGCCGGTCGAGGAGAGGCGTAGGGCGGAAGCGCCTCCTGGGGCCGAGTCAAAGTGTGTCCTACAATAGTTGGCAGCCAGTCAACGACCACATAGAGTAGAGACAAGAACTTGCCACACACCTCGCTGAAGTGCAGCTTCCTCACCCTTCCGCCCGAAACCCATCCCTTTCTTCTGGCTCATTAGGCTCGCATTCCGCGCTGCGAAGGTGCCCTTCTCGTTCCACGTCGAGCCGGTGTTGGTGCCTGTGAGGAAGGGGCGCGGCCCAGAGTGCAGGGACGTGCGCGGTAGGACATCATCGGTGGCGTTCCACGAAGTGAGCGAGCGATAGGGCTTGGCCTTCTCGCGGAAGATAAGTCCAAGGAAAATGTTCAGACAGCCAAGCGAGAAAACAAGGAACGCGGAGACGAGAGAAAACTCGTCAACGAAGTGTGAGAGCACAGCAGCTCCAAGTCTGAAAACCAAACGCTGAGCGGGTAACAGTGATCACAGCACGAGCAACGTACAGGCACTGTATGACACCCAGGGCACCGAGTCCAAACTCATCTCCGAGTATGGGGAAGAAGCGGTTGAAGAACGCAGCTGGCCAGCCAACCTCGGACATGATAAGTACGACGGCTTGGAACATGATTAAGAGTCGATTGAGGACCGCCCAGAACGCGCCAGCCGGCTGATTGGGTACAGTGCTATTACTACATATGCCATGTTCGTGAATGCACTCTGCAATGATTCAACTTAGACTTACGGGATGTATTCCAGCTGTGAGCAATCAATCGTCGAGTTTCCAGAGGCGACGTAGTCAGTTTTCCCTGCAGCAATAAATGCGTTGACGGCCTTGATGTCTTGCACAAGAGTGACAATGCTGCTCGCAAAGAGTAAGATCAGGGAGATGATGCTAAGTGCGCGGGTGGCATTCAAGCCAATAAAGATGTCTGTCAGAGAGCATGATATCAGCTAAGGAGACGAATACACGATCGAAGAGCTACGTGCACGAGCGGGCAGGCGGCATGTTGATTCAGTCTTGATATGTAGGTACAAACGAGTGTCCGATAGGCTTGACTTATAGTCGAGAAATAGGAAAGGATAGGGATCGATGTGCCTGCACTAGAGAGGTGCCGAGATGGAATTAAGGTAGAGACCAAGGAGCTCTACAGGGCGAGACGCAGCTCAATGAATTCAATGATGGAGGAGGAATGAGAGAAGATGAATAAAGTGAGGGGACTTTTGTATGGTTGTATAAGCGAACTGACGCGGAGAAGGACATTGTGCTCTGTTGATCCACCGTTGGGATGGCCACACTGCGAAGAACAAAAACAGACGGAAGAGGAACAATGCCACAATTCCACCAGCCACAATAGCCTCTAATCACGTGCCGAGAAGCGTACTGCCTGAAGATCTCCATGGGCCACGGCACCCTCATCCTGTTGCTCTTATTTCGTTATTGGCCATTTTCCGTTCGCCTGTGACTGTCGAGTGCGGTTCATGTATTTGTACTCCTTTATTCATTCCAATTTTCTCAGAGAAACAACCAGAATGACTTGTACAACACATTCTATTCATCAACGCCATCCAGTCACACAAGCTCCTTCGCTGAGGGTGTGCATCATACACGGTGAGCAAATTGATGATCATGCGTAATATTCCACTGATTCTGTTTCAGACAGCCCACTGTCACTAGTATCAGTGTTCTCGCACTCCAGTATAAGGATGTAATTATGATGGCTGCTGATAATCTCGGTACATTACTTCGGTCTTGCTTCCAATGTAAGCTATACTTGCTGATACCAACCTATAGCGTCTTACGGCTCTCTTTCACGTTCCGAGGACATATCACGTTTGCACACAGTTGGCCCAAGCACTGTCATAGTTGCCTCAGGCGACATGTCCGATTTTCAACTCTTACAGCACGCCCTTGATGCTCTCATTACGGACGAAATTATCCAGTCCGACGATGAGGCCAACGTTCTTGGTCCTGCGGAGGTCTATGAGTATCTCTCGCGTTCTATGCTCAAGGCGCTCGAAAATGAATCCTATTTGGAACGCCTCGCCAGTGGGTGGTCTACAAGGTGGAAAGCGGTGTATTTATGATCATAAATTAGCACGCTCTCACCCAATGCAAGTAAATTGAATTAGATTTTTGGCATACGTTGATCTCCTAGGGACTAGCTGTTCGGCGCCTTCTATAGCTACAGGCTGCGGCGCTCACATCGCCATTCCTCTCCTCTGAGATGTGGTTTATGGGCACCAGGACACACTCAGTGAAGATGCCCGCCAGCTCCTACATGATTGTTTGGGCGTGCTCTACTATTGTGATGCATCTAATTTGGACAAGGCAAGTCTCGAATTTACCCACTCACTGCTTTTGCGATCGTGTACATGTGGCGGGTCAACAGCTTCACTGCGTCGTATTCTATCACTAGTTATGTGGCTACTGGATGCTTCAACCGCATACTGATATGTTCATTAGTACCAACTTGCTACCGTCACAGCCACGGGCGTATCCATCTCCGATCAGGTAAAGCTCGATACAGCCGGGGCTTTTGTCGAGGGTCTTCGAGGTTATGGCAGATGCAATAAACAGCTTGGTGTTGTTGACTTTTGGTCACAGCAGGAAGATGGTCTGTCGTGACACGTAATACCACCCATAATAAACTGGATGAGTAGCCGTGCCGCACACAGCTATTGATTCATTCCCTTTGCCGTCTTATGAATTCCATCCCGGAGATACCTAGGGCAGAGTGAGTCTTCGAGCTTTCACATAATACTAAGTGTGTTGGAGGATTTCGGTGCAATGCGAGTCCTAGCCAAATGCACTTGTGGAGTGAGATAGACCACACCTAAGATTCAATGGAGTCTAATAACGACCCCAGGAATATCTTCACCCTAACACTAATGCAGCATAAGCAATGGAGAACCATAATAAAACTAATCTCGTAAGCTACATCACGGACATCCGCTAAATACATACTATAAGCTGCAGCAAGCACAGCGTTATGGCATTGTCTGCACCTATTTTTTATTCTTCTTTGCTTTACGGACGTCTTTCTCATTGGAGACAACCTCTTCTGAACCTCTCTTGCGCTTCGCCTGTGTCCGTTTCAAAGCGCGCTTCGTCTCGCCGTCTGGAAAAGCGTCCAGGTCGAAGTATGTCGACGCCATTTCCAAAAGCCTGAACCAAGAATATTAATGAACGTCACTAGAGAATAGGGACAGCGTGGAGTCAACATACCACTCTGGGCGGACATCCGTCACAGTACGTATGTACGGCTTCGTAGTAAGGACAAATTCATTGAAGATAACCCATTCCGGCTGGGTATCCAACCCGCACGACGGATGTAGTTGCACTACTTGATTATCCTTCACAGTCAAGTAGGCACCCTTCTCTCCCTCTTTGTGTGCTACCTGCATGAAGTACCCGCACACGAGTGCCCGCCGGACATTCGCATATAACCTTCGCTCGTCCTGCGTGGACACCAGATCGATTTCAAATCGCTCCATCGTGCGCTGCAGCTGCGACCTGACGTTGTCTGCCTGCGCAAGTGCTCGCTGTGAGAGGTAGCTGTTCCACGCCCAATTCCTGTCATGTTGATCTGGTAGGTAGCTTCCATGAGTATTGTGAAATCAGATAGTGTATCGAATATCTCACTTTGCATGTAATTGTTGTAAACATTCAGCAAGGTAAGATGATCTCCGTCAGGCACAGTCAGCCGTGCTTTCGCAGCATCGGCCTCCTTCCGCATATTTGGCGGCCGTAGCCAGACGTTCGGAACTGGAGGAAATCGTGAGGAATGGCACGAAAATAGTAACAGCAGAACCTACCAGAAAGCATGGCAACAATCGTAAGAATTTCATTACTGCAGTTGAATTCAGGGCTAACGATAAGCATCTTCGCCATCTGCAGCGACAGTCAGGCGTGCATAGACGAACAATATCCATGCACTTACCTGAGGATCGAGTGGAAAGTCAGCCATCATCGATCCAAGAGGCGTGAGGTCGCCCTCGTCGTTCAACGCAGCCAGATAGTTCAGCAACTCCAGAGCACGCATCAGGGTCTCGGGTGCTGGTGCATCGACATAGTCGAACCGCACAAGATCCTATATACCTTGCAATGTGAGCTACAATGTCTCATAAAAACGTCGATGAACATACCTTGATTCCTAGCTTCACCAGCTCCAATACAGTATTGGCCAAGTTACTCCTCAAGATCTCCGGGTGTGTCTGCTCCTCCAGCTCCTTCATGAAGTCCTTCTCCGTGTACAACCTGAAGCATTTTCCGGGCCTTGTTCTCCCCGCTCGACCTGCACGCTGCTGTGCAGACGCCTTTGATATAGGGCTGACAAGCAACGATTCCACGCGTATACGAGGATTGTACACTTTCTGCTTCGAAAACCCCGGATCAACGACGTATACAATACCGTCAATTGTGAGCGAGGTTTCGGCGATGTTCGTCGACACAACTATCTTCCTTCCTGGAGGGCCGTCTGGAGTGCGGGGAGGTGGCGGTGGATCAAAGATACGTTGTTGCTGCTGTGGCGGGAGGGATGAGTATAACGGTATGCACGTCAGCGGGCCAACACCATCGGGATCGGAGTTCATAAGATCGTCGGCTTCAAGTTTGATTTTCCTACAAGAGTCTTCGATTTCCTCCTCTCCTGTCAAGAAGAGAAGGATGTCCCCAGGGTCTTCGGCCCTGTGTATCATCAACACTGTCCTAATTGCCGCCTCGACGTAGTCCGGCTCCGGCTCCTGCGTGTAGAACACCTCAACGGGGTGCGTGCGACCTGGGACCTTGAACAGGGGTGCAGGCTCTCCATCCTTCGACACTGAAAAGTACTTTTGAAACTTCAGTGCGTCGAGCGTCGCGGACATAACAATGATCTTCAAGTCGGATCGCCGTTTGGCGAGCGCTTTCAGCAGGCCCATCAAGATATCGGTAGCAAGCGTGCGCTCATGCGCTTCGTCGAGGATGATCGTCGAATATCGTAAGAGGTCCGGGTCATTCATTGCCTCCCGCAGTAACATCCCATCCGTCATATATTTAAGAAATGTTGTCCCGGGCTCTGTCATGTCTTCGAACCGAATCGAATATCCAACTTGCTTTCCGAGTTGAACTGTTGAGTGTACATGTGAGTCTACAGGCATTATCGTTAGTGCCCTATAACGTACCATCCATTTCGTCAGCAACTCGCTTCGCCACTGACATCGCCGCGACACGACGGGGCTGTGTACACGCCACGAGCTTTCCCTTAGTGTGAGGAAGGTCGGAGTAGCAGACGAATTGGGGGATCCTGTGATGGAAATCATGCCAATAGGCTCTTTGAGACAGTGTGGCACAATAGCAAAAATCTTACTGTGTAGTCTTTCCTGATCCCGTCTCTCCCACCATAACGATAACCTGATTGTTGCTGAACTTTCCCGGACATCAGTTACGTTCTCCTTAGTCAAGGGTGTCTCATGCCTGAAGCCAGCTCTGACCTCCTTCACGGTACTCCGAAACATATAACGCTTACCATCTTGAGGAACTCCTCCATCTGTGCATAGACAGGTAGCTTTTTCCGTGCTTCCAAGATTTTCTTATACTGAGGCGAATGTGGCTGCTTAGTGAATGGGTTGATGTCTCCTTCCTGAAGTAATGTATATCAGTTCACGTAGTCATGCAGGTGAAGTTGCAATATACCATTGCCTTCGTAACTTGCTGAGCAGTAACGGATCTTGGCAGAAAGCCAAAAAGCGGTTCCTTATTGGCCATTGACTTTGACAAATTCCCCGAATTTAGCGGGGGTCTATTTGTGTATGGATTATCCGGCATCTGAACTGCTACAGGACAGGTACAGAAGCAATATGGAGAGGATGAAGAGCGCAACAGGGAAGCGTGAGGCGACTCGCGATCGCGTGACAACCGAGAAATTTGAGAACACGTGACATGGATGAGTCCCGAATCCGGCAACTGCAGTTCATAGTTCATACCTGGTCTCGTACGAAGACACGTCTGGGGTAGCCTAGCAGATCTAGAGACCCCCCCCTTCCAGAGGCGCCCGTTAAGTGCCCCATGTAATGGTCACATTGGCCTTCTCGGCCTGTGATTAAACTGCCCAATTGTCCATTTTGAGTAACTATGCCTAGCAACCTGAGTGCAAGAGGCATCAAAAATGTTGACTAGGGAAGGCTATACAACCAGTTAGAAAGAGTTATAAGAGAATTGCTGTGGAAGGATTGAGTGCAGTTTTGATTACTTCAGCTCAGAGCTTCTGGGAATAATATTGCTGCAGCCATATTTTGTGAATAAATGGTATCCAAAATCTTGAGCATAGTGCAGCATTTTGGAGAGTTAGTGACTTGTTCTCTCCCTCAACTTCTTCTGTGTGCACCAGCATCTTGTGCTATCCACAATATATCTCAAGTCTCAAAGGATAGATACTGTCAAAGTATCATCTTGATACTGTTACAGTCTCAGTGAGAGGGGGGTTTCTTTTCATTCTTGCCACATCCTTGTTTGACCCTGTATGATCTAACTTTACCTCTTACTATTTCACTGATGTCTTACTTCTTGTTAAGGGACCTTGTACAACTGAGGATCAGGGGTTCCAATTGAGTTACTATGTGTTGTAGAGCTGTAATGCCAAAGTTCTAATGCTGAGGACTTGTACTTGAGTTTGTACAACTAGAGCAGAGCTTCTCTACCAGGAGAAGTTTGAGAGTGCACACTGAGTAAAGCTGACAAGAGAACATCTAGGTTCTATTGGTTGTCCCTATAGAGCATGCATAGGAACAGGAGGACAAAACAAAAGTACAACAATGCAGTAGCTACATCTTAAATAGACAAGGGTATTGGAAATACCATAGGATTATGTTGATGTAAATAGAATGATGTATCAGTACAGGAGTTAAATCAAAGACTGATAGATGAGAATGGTGGGAATGAATACTAAGATAGATCAGTGATGAATAGTGACAGTTAGATCTGGTGATAAGACTCTGTTGCTTCTAGGCTCGGAAACGGGTGTTCTATATGA